GAATGGTTATAGGAAACTGGGAAGCAAGGAATGACTCTGCAAGGACAACAGCGAAGTATTTACTTTTTCTCTGAGTATGCTTAGAGAGTTTTGTTTCCTTAAACCCTTTTTTTTTTTTTTTTTTCTTTTTTATTGTCAAATCTGGGCTGTGAGATTTCTGCTGTGTCTTCTGCTTCTGTTGTGATGACTATAGCATAATTCTATGATAAGACAACGTGCCCTAACGAGGAAACTAGATAACCCTTTAGGGTCCCTTCCAGCTCCAAGGTTTCTAAACCTGCCTCAGCAGGGTCTGTGCTGGCATCTCCTGAGGGCTAAGGGTGGATTTGGCAACCCAAAGGACTAAGCAGCCACATTACAGCTGCTGGCATCCTACATGGACCTGGTGTGCAAAATGATGCCTTGTCTGACTCCAACCCATGCAAAAGAGTCAGGGTTTTAGGTTGTCTTTCTCTCTACTGAGCCATCAACAAAGCAAGGGGATGGAGTAGTCTTCCCTCCTCGAGCAGCTTTATGTGTCTGTTTCTCTTCCTTTTTCTTTTTACTTAAAGAAGAAACTATTCAGTAAATCTGCTCCGTGAACCAGCAGATTTATGAATGAGCTGGCAAGTGCCGAAAGGAAGGCTTAAATATGACCTTTCCAAGTCTGAGAGCTGAGCCAATGCTTAGAGAGGACAGAAAACCAGATATTATTTTTCTTTTAATATATTATATTCTACCAGTTCTCCCAAAGGCTTGGAATGATGTCTATAGATTGCAAAAACATATCTCTGAATGTGCAGTGTGCTGTGAGTGCAAGACACACTCGATTTCTAAGCTGGTCCTAGATTCTGCTTCTGAGAAGGCAGTTCCTTCAGAGAAAGAAAAGGAAAAGCATGGACATAATGATGTTCCTGCACTGCATCCAGTTCAAGAAAGGTGAATAAGATACCTTCTCCTTTGGCAGATGCACCCAAAAGGAGTTACTGGGGCATTAAGGCTGTTTAAAACTCAATCAGACAATGTCATAGCTGGTGTAACTGGGAGAAGTGCTATGCGGAGCCACAGAAGTTGGGCTGTGCAAATGGGTTATTTTCTTCTATCTTTGCTTCTCTAATAACACAAAGAAGTCTGGTCTGTCCACAATCAGGCCGTTCCTGGCTCCTCTGGGCTGATGGCAACAGGGATAATCAAGAATCTGAAATTAATGACTTTAGAATGACTGTTTATCATCTGAGTTCAAATCTACTCAGGCAGATGAGGGAGCTAGATCCAGATTTCCCACATCCCCCTGCTGCAAAGAGAAAAAATGGAAAAAAAAAAAAAAAAAAAGTTTTATAAGTAAAAAATTTCGTTATTGAGATGCTGCAAAACTTCAAGTCATTCTTCCAGAATGGTGATTTAGTCCTTAAATCAGAGAAAAAAAGATAAATGCATTTAGAAAGCCAGCATTTCTACAGGCGTGCTGATACCGATCTTGCATAAATGTAGAAGTAAATGAATGGAGATATGAGAAAATACATAGTGCCTATCTGAGATCAGGAGATGGGGAGTCTGGAGGCAATTACATTTGCTCAGGAATTCTAAATATATTAGATTGAACACCAGTACCTCAAAGCAAACAGGGGCAGGATAAAAAGATATGAAGCAAAACAAAGCTAAAATTTGTTCTCACCAGCTCACTGTTACCAGGCATTGCTGGTGAGCTCTGAGCACCTGGGAAGTCAGAAGCAAGCTCCCTGAATCTGCATTGCAAAGTCTCTGAGCTGCCTCATTGTAAGCAAGCACTGACCTCTTCCGTGCTCAGTTCTACTGAAGTCAGAGGATTGGATGGGGGCATCTTTTGTGTTTTATTTCTCAGATGGAGATGCCACGTGGTGGGTTTGGTGGGGAAGATGATGTTAAAAGCATTAAAGTGGGACTATAAAGCCACCATTCTGGCATGTTTTTTCCGGAGAAGACAAACAGTATTTATGTTTTAAAGACCTTCTGACAGTCTTTGCCATTGCAATTACTGTCTCTTCAACTGTGAATAGCCTGGTACAGTAAAACCTCAGTGAAACGATAAACAAAGGAGAGTATGAACAGGTAGCAAATCCACTGCAGCAAAACTTTGCTCTGGAGACTGAGTGCTGAGCTGGATTTCATGGCAAAGCCACCACACTGGACCAGTCCTTCAAACGTTTGTTACCCCCAGATGGGGACCATCCCATTCACTTGCTGGTTGGACCAGGTTGTGTTATGATGCTATGATTCTATGTTTGAAAGAAAAAGAAGACTTATTAGTTAGCTGTTCTCTTAAGCAGCCCACGGGATAACTGCTGAGTCAAACCAGATTTATGCTGGGGTTAAAGCTAATTATCAAGAAATTTAGGAAAAGAACGTCATCCATGTTTCAAGCATTCAGCATGTGAGGAGCAACGGAATGGTCCACTATGAGGCTGCTTTCTACAGAGCTTTGGCAGACAGCCATGTAGTTCAAAATAGTAAGGAATTAGTAGAACTTTTTGCTTGAAACTAATGGTAAGTAACAGCACATTTCTGTTTAATACCCAGAGTCTCCCAAGCATCTGATAAAAACCATATATGACCCTTGGCTCCTGACCTCACTACTTCCATCCAAAATAAATGAGACAGGAATTTCTAACCACTTGACAAAGCCAATCTATAAAAAATGTATATGGAGAGAGCATGTACGTAAAGAACAGCAATAGCCTGGAATCCCAGCAGTGATAAATATTCTAGCCACCCAACAAACTGTCATGCTTCATTGTGTGAAGCTCTAGATAGGATATGCCTTGCACATGACTAACACAAGAACAATGAAGACAACATATGGTATGACTTAAACTATAGTTGTCCTTCTTACTGAGGGGAAAAGCGACTACATTTATACTGAACAAATCCTTAGCATGTTGTTTTTCCAAGGTATAAACCCATAGTAAACATGGCCTGGTAAAACACTATGCGCTATTTTTTATAAATGGAAAACAGTGACTTGAGAGAGATAAGGAAAGAGAATATGCAGTTGCAATGTGTATTTTTGATAAATAAGAACTATTTTTTCTTAGGTTCTGGACACATGTTTTAGCTGGCTTGTGGTGACTACTTGGCAACATATTCTACCAAAACCAAAACAAAATGAGTTGAAGCAATTTACTTCTTGGCCTAGAGTAGGCTCTGTAGTCTTCCTTCATCAGCAGCCAACAGCATGCAGATAGCATTTACCGTAGTTCAGGTGCACGGTGGTTTCTCTATAATCTGTATCAATAAAACCAACAGTGGCATGGAGAAGATGAACAGCTGCCCATGGCAGTGGGGTTGGAACTTGATGATCATTACAGTCCCTGCTAACTGAAGGCATTCTAGAATTCATTCTAACTATTATCAGTTCAAGAAGGAAAAGGCATTGATGTAAGATAAACAGAAGTTGCTCATCATGAAGCAGAGAGCAGACCCATTGGACTCAAGGCCATGGGATGTCATGCGTGCTGAATGTCTCCTGGAAAGCCTGAACAAGCCCTTCAGTGAGCAAATTCACTGCAAGTTATTTAACAGACGAAAATGATATCCAGCTCAGTAGATGCCTTGAGCTACATGTAGTGAGAAGCAGAGGACGTTGCAGGATTACACATGCTTGCTCTGTTCCTTCACTTCCTCAGGCACCCAATGATTGCTGCTGTTGGAAACAGCTGCTGGGTTTGGCAGACCCTTGGTCTGACCTGATTCTTGCCTTCTGTGTCCACTCCCATGCCTAAGCCCTGAAGACCAGCTCTGATCTCGTGGGCATGTTTTGTTCTGTTAGCTTGACCAATGCCTGGGGAGCCACGAGGTCTTCTAAGGGAAAGGCTCTCTGTATACATTTTTACTGATAACATATTTAAAGAGGAATCTGCAAGTCTACGTTGATTTCTTGCTGCTCTCAGAATGACATCCAAACCACATCTGCAACTACAGGGACGTCTGTTTGCTAAGTTAAAACTCTGATGGGTATTTTGACAGCCCTCTCCATTTCAGCATCTGAACAGCAAGTTCAAAGAACAAGTATTTTGGCAACTGAATTCAGATTAAATCAGCTCTTCAGCCACCAAGTTAAAACCAGCCCATGGGTCTCTGGGAGCTATCAAGCTTCATGTCTGGGTTGTAGCAAGGGCCTGCCATGAGCAATGCATTCATTGTTATTGCAAAATCATTCTCTTTAGCTGAAGGAGTTAGATGGGCAGGACTGGGAGATGTCATCACAGCAGTGTGGTGGGTGTGTTTGTTGCAAGATGCAGTTTCTGGGACCTGAATAACAGCGCAAATGACTGTGACAGCAGTACCAAACACTGCTGCTGCTGCTGCTTATGAAACCAGTTAGGGTGTCCAGCAGCAGGGAAATGTCAGCATCTCTCAGCAGGGCTCTGCACACCCTCTGTGTGATGCACTGATTTTAATAAAGACAGACACAGATCTTCATTTCCATCTTATACAGCTCACCATCCTATGCCAGGCTGCATTACCCTGTGTGTTGGTGTCAGGTTGATTAAATTGCTAGGAAGGTGCCAGAGTGGCCTGTGACAAAACTGTTTCATTAATAGAGCTGCTGTGCTGGTATGCCTGTGCTTCAGAGGCGATATCACTCTCTAAGCTGCAGCACTGCTGAACTGGGGAAATGTTAGAGCAGAAACACACAAGGACAGAATCATGGAATCATAGAATCATTAAGGTTGGAAAAGACAACCATGATCATCAAATCCAGCCATCAGCCCACCACCACCATTCCCTCTCATACATCCATTAAGACTGGAAAAGGCCACTAAGGTCATCAAATCCAACCATCAGCCCACTGAACCTCCTGCATGAAGGCAAGGTGTCCAGGCAAACTGGGCCACAAGGTCCCAGTATGACCCTTGGGTTACTCAGGCTGCAGCAGAGCTGGGAATCATCCTCAAACTGCCCCATGGCTACAGAGGGAGCTGCCCTCCTGGTAGGTTGTACCAGTCGTTGTCCCTTTGCACCCCACACCTCACCACCCTGACCTTTGTTGTCATGCCATATTCGCACTTTGCAGAGATCTCCCAGGCTCAGCATGTCAGGGAAGTTGAATTCATCCATCTGGTTCCTCTCAAACTTGTTAGACTTGTTGGACTCCTTCAGAGCAAGGGTCCCACTGTCTCCATTCTCCCCAAACAGAATCAAGGAAACGTTGGCATCGGTGCCAGCTCCTGCAACATATAGCAAGGCATGTGGTCATGAGATGCCCTGCCACACAGGCTGGAACCAGCCTCCAAATGCCCAGAAATGGAGGCATCAAAGGCAACTGGAACACAAACACAGCTGAAATACTTTGACTTGCATTCAAGGTATGGACATCGTGCTGTTATCAACATGAATATTTGCTCCTAATGGATTTGAAAGCAAAATACAGATTAACAGTCAAAATGCTGTGTCATCCTGCAGCCCTTCTTCCGTTCCCACAAGCCTTCTTTCTATGATCCTGTTTCTCAAAATATTCTTGAAGTTGAATCAAAGGAAAAAAAAAATGCTTCCTCATGTACATGCTTGGAAAAGATGCACTTCTAAGTCAGTCCTTATTTACTTGATATTGTAATTCATGTCCACTACTGTCCACACATGTTGCAGAAGAAAAGAGATATGTAGTCAATTTTCTTGACTGCTGAGAGTTCAAGGCTACACCATTACATACAATGAACTTACAAAAATTTTAGTGAAGGCATTAATGCAGTTTTATAGGGCACTATTTAAAATTTGACAGAAAACATAAACTATCATCCTATTTCCTTTTATTTTTGATGCCCTCATAAGAAAGCAGATTCACAGAGAATTTGTCTCCACCTGGGCAGATATTCATTGCTCTGTCAGAATTGAGGCTCTTGAATTTTGACAAATAGAAATGAGATCATCAAACCCAAATCTGGCTTTCAGAGAAACTCATCATCTGCTGCCCTTGGTTGGATATCCCTGCTTTGAGAACTCCTAAGTGCCTGCCAAGCCATTCCTAATGCAGCAGTGTCATAAATCCACTTTGGGCACACAGACGGTATTTCCCATAGCTCCATTCAAAACACTGTGCAGAGACAAAGTCAGGAGGACTCAGAACTTCCAGGGAAATTCACCTCTTCCTCAGCATAATTACATGAATATATGAGTTAGGAAAAAATCTCTGCTTTTCCTATAGGACTGAAAAAATTCTAAAAGGGGGGAAGAGGGGGTGATAGAAAAAAAGAGAAAAAAGAAAATAAAAAAGAAGGAAAAGAGTCACACAGAGAACAGGTAAAGAAAAATTGCCTATGTTAAACTGGGGTTAATTTTCAGCAGTTCCCTGGGAAGGGCTTAGAAAAGAAGAGAAAGGATCAGGGATTAACGCCATTCATCTGGCAGCACCTTTTATGACTCTAAATCTTGCTGAGGTGAGGAACAAAGCAAACTAAACTCCATTTCCTTACATGGAGGAGGCTTCCAATTAATGCAAGATCTCAAAAAGCATAGAACCAACTGTTTCTTAGCAAAAACTTCCAGGCAAAAAGAACCTTATGGAGGCCTCATGCCGTGACATTTCTCTTGTAGGCAATTAGCAGAAGATGGAAAAAAAAAACCAACAGAAACTGCTGAATCAGTTCACCTATTTGTGTCTGTCTCGCCACCCCAAACCATCCTGTTTTGTTGTTTCATTGTTGTTTTTTCTTCTTTTTAAACCCAGGAAACTGCTAGGTACATTTAGGAACAGTAGGAAAAACTGATAAATGAAGGGATGAAGGCAGTGCTGTTGCACAGGCCGTAGCTGGCAGAGGCTCAGGAGTGGTGTCCACACCACTGAACTTCATTGTCATTACCCTAAAAAAATGACACAGCATCCTCATCAGATTTGCAGGTAATGTTACATCTGAGGCAGCGAGCAGCACACTGAATGTCAGAACTCCAATCTAGATCAACACTGAGAAACTTGAGGACTGGGCAAGCAGAGATCTCATGAAGTTCAGCAAGGAGAAATGCGAAGTTCTGCATCAGAGGTAGAATAAGCTCTGCATGTGAAGGGGATTGGAAGTTTAAGAGGATCCAGAAGTAATAGCAGCAACAATTTGTATTCAGTACAAACTTGATCTGACAGTGAGCTCTTAGTGTTCAATGCAAGCCACATATTGGGCTACACTAGGAGAAGTGTAATGAGCAGTTGGAGGGAACATCTTATGCTCCTTGATAAGCATTGAGCAGCCCCTACTTGAACCATCGTGCCATTTTGTGTCTTCAGGTCAAGGGTGATGCAGAGACAACAGGGAGAGCCTATCAGATGTTTGCCAAAATGGAAAGGTGATGGAGCACATGGCCGTCAGGGCAGGCCAAGGGAGATGAGCTGTCATGGGTGAGCAAGGACACCTGTGAGTACATATAGGGAGAGATAGAATCATAGAAAGGCCTGGGTTGAAAAGGACCACAATGCTCATTTAGTTTCAACCCCCCTGCTATGTGCAGGGTCACCAACCATCAGACCAGGCTGCCCAGAGCCATATCCAAACTGGAGCCACATCAATATCCATCTCTCATGATAGAGATTACAGGGTCGTGTGCTGGGCATGTGTATGTCAGACACCCCAAAGAGCCACAGCCACAGATTTGGAGCTGTGGAGGTGATGGTTGTTTGTTAGGAAAAAAACCTTTCTTGGTAAAATTGTCTGGGTCTGGAACTGGTGCCTGGGGAGGTCATGGCAGCACCATATTGGAAGCATCCAAGATTCACACTGGCCAATCTGACCTAGTGCTGGCAGTAGACCATGGAGGAGAAAGTTGCATGAGGCCTCTTCCGATAAGAGTATCTATGATTTTACAATTGAACAGCTGCATCATTTTTGACCAGAGGGGATTTGAGTCATAGCCTTCTGAGGCCAAAGAATGCCCTTCTTTTGTCTTAACAGAGACTTGGATACAGCACTTGGAACTGACAATTGTATTAAATTATGTAATTTGTAGTCTGTAGCTGAGCTTACAACATACTAATTAATCTTTTAACAGCAGAGATAAAAACCTCTTGCTTCGTTAATTTTTGGAAAATGTGACAGCAATGTTTATTCTTTCTCAATCTTTACTGCATTACCATGTATATGATTCTTACATATAGAACACAGAAAAGCTGTGTAGATTGAAATCAAAAGGCAAAGGTCTTTTTTTTAGAACAGAAAGCACCACCATGTGTTCTGAATCCACTGCAGCCATGTCTGTGGGTCACATCTTGAAGAAAATGTTGTGATGTTGTGATGTTGTTCTTTACTTGTCTTACAAGACAGAAAGTAAATCCAGGTCTTGGTTTAAACCACAGATTCTCCATCTGACCTGGGATGTGTTTGATGCAATGAGTTGTTCCTCCTCTTTCTGTATGTATTCTGAGAACTGCCATCTGAGTTACAGCTGGTAGCCTTTGAACTTTGAAAGAGAAATCTGCCTACTTGCAGGAGGAGCTTTTATCCAACATCCAAGCTGAATTACTTCTGAAAACTGTAACCCAATTTTTTTTTAAGGAAAAAATGAAATGGGACTGCTATTGTGTGTATGATGGGGAAGAAATGACTGCTGTACAACAATTTTGATGGGATTCATTTTCTCTAACTTAATCCATCTAGACTAGCTTACTAGTCTTGATCCTGTTTGAACCTGACAAAAAAGCAGGAAGGGAGATGCTCCAGAGAATGCTGGCAGCCCAGTGTTTAGGAAACCACTCCTGCATGATTTGGCCACGCAGAATTCAGCCTTGAAGGAGTTAAGACCATGAGTATAATTTTTGGAATGACAAATAAATGAGACAAATCATGCTTTCTTTTTTTTTTATTGCCTCTGATGGATGGGAAAGTTGAAGGCTATTGCAGAGAAAACTATTATACTTAGGAACAAACATGGTTGATTCTATTCACAGTGGAGCAGTGCTGTCCCTAGGCAATATATAGTGTGGCAGGAGATGATATAACATGTTTACACTAATCGTCAAGGATAAAAGGTCTTTTTCCTCAATTGGTTCAACCAGAAGCAATCATGGAATACACAAAGATGAAAGAGGAGAGATGGTTCATGACTTGTCCCCTCTTTAGATAAGCTGGATAAAGTTCAGCATGATGTCAGTGCTCTCTATGATCTAATCACGAACAGACTCTCTGAAACTTCTCTGTAATCTGCTCCTTCCTACTGGTTGTCACTGCTCATAATGAAATAAAATGCTTCATCATTAATACCCTTCATCTCTCATTCAATGAGAAGGGCAGAACTGTCTCCTGTTGCTGTCATCTCCCATTTCTCCTCTCGCTTTCATTTCTATCGCCTTTGTGAGATAGGCCTGAATTTCATAAAAAGGTCATAGAAAGCTCTGCCATTATGTTAGGTGGATTGCCAGACAGATAAACAAATCTCTCTTCTGTCTTTAGTGTTTCACTAAGTTTTTCAGATAAACAGCAGGCAGAGCAGCTAGAGAGATGGAAAATGGTGAGGCAGCACTAAGACACTTTGCCAGGAGAATTTTGATATTCTCCACTCAAACCTCAGAAGCTGCATAAATTACTACCGGTAAATCAAAAAATAAAAGTGAAAACAGAGACAGGTAGAGATCAGGGGTTGTTAAGAGCACTGGTGTGGCAGAATCCCCTTACAGGGTGAATATTTTAGACAAAGCCAGGGTGAGAGGATGTGTGATGTGCCTCAATCTGGCATGTGGCAGTTGTGTTTGTGGCTGTGGCTTTCATTCAGCAGCCTGACAGAAGTCATCATGAAAAGAGGCAACGATCCCAAGAAATGACATAGAAATCCCATTTCTTGTCTCTTGAAGCCATGTGGATTTATGTTTTCTACATGCATTTAGGGTTGTTATTTCACTGCTTGAAATAAATGGTCTCAAAACATTTTAAAAAGGAGAGTGAATGATTGCTCTCCTCTTTGGACAAAGCAGATGGTGCCATCAAAAATCCAGAGCCCACAAGCTCCTGGGTTGACATTAATCTATTTGTCAATTTCATGTAATCAATGGACCTGACCTAATAGGAAAAGGAGGCTCCTGAGCACCTCAGCATTGTCTGGAAATAGATTATGGTTAAGATTTCCTCAGAGGAAGTAGTGAACAGTCAAGCATAGGCTTTGTGTCTAAATATTTCATACCCACTGCTTAGATAAGAATGGATCCTATAGAATGACACTGCTGTGATGAGCAGATAGCCAAAATGGCTATGTTGCATCATAGTAGAGATAGATTATGCTTTTTTTTACATAATTTCAATTATTTATGAGATTTTTTTCGTTGTTAGAAATCGAATTTCATACTAGAAAAGTCATTAGATATCCACCATGGACATACCTCCAATATCACTGGTTTTAACTTGAATTGTATAAGTGGTGTCCTCCATCATCTGCTCATCATTTATCATGGCTGGCATCTCACACACAAGACTTCCCTTGGCATTTTTCACCTTTGACAGCCAATCACCATATGTAAATGTGGCCACTTCCTGATTAGTCAGGTTCCTCATGACTATCTGCAAAGAGACAACGTCAAGGAAAAAGCATCAGATACAGTTTGCAGGAGGGCAGATATTAAATTTATGAAGTGCACAGCATGGTACAACATGGGTAGAGTTTGGTCATAGATTGAAAATCTGCAATCAGATCTTTGGTGATCAGCAGAGCTCTCCCCTACAGACAGTATTTGCTGTGTTGAACAGTCAAGGGAAACAGTCACCATAATATTGGACTTTCTCATGCATGGGGTAAAGTATAGGAAAAAATGAGCTCTTCTGACATGGACAAAGCTGTTTTCTAGGAAAGTCAGATATTTTTTGGATGCCTGTGTGGTATTAATGTGAAGGAAGAAGGAAAAAAGAATTATTAAAAGCCATATTCATTCTCCTGGAGTACACACTATCTGTCTTTTGCTCATCTCTTCTGCACAAACCCACAGTAATCATTGCAGAAAAATGCAGACCAACCCTGAACAAGAAACACAAGACAAATTAGGCCAGCAGAATTTAAGTCTTCACATGTTTTTCCCTCTGTGAAAAAGTGACAGCACAAGCAACATGCAACAGATATTACTCATACTGCCTCATGTATCAGTGGAAGGATCTCAGATGCTCTGGTGTTAAGAACAGAATAAGAACCTGCAATAGAGAATAGAACAGGAAAGAGAGTTACTCCAGTAAATAGCAAATAAAATACCTACCTTTCCATATTCAACATTTGAGCTTTTCCCAGTTTTAAATGGGTGTCAGCAGAGCATCAGTCTACCGAGAAGAAGGTGTTGCATTTGCCTACAGCAAGAACCTGGGAATGCACTGCCACTAAACTGGGGAGTTAGAGGGAAGGGAGGAGATTGGGCTGCATGCTACCATTTGTGTTACTGTCTAGCAAAAACACAAAGACCATACCCAAGTTAAGCAGTGTATCAAAAAACAATGCACATCTCTGCTAAGGTCATGGAAACGAGCTCAGATGTGTCTGAGAAGAGTGACATGATATTAGGAAGGAAGAATCATGGAACTGTGGTGAATTAAGTTAAAAGAGATTCATGGTGCTGTTTAGTCCCACTTCAAGTTCCAAGCAGGGCTAAATGCAAGGCCATATACAGATGAGTTTTAAAAACATTCAAGTGTAGAGATTTCCCACATCACAGAGCTGCACAAGTCTTGATGTGAAATTTCCCTCCTTACATCCAATCAGGAGTTTTCCTTCTGCAACCTGCACACCTGGCTTCATGCCCTTTCACCACCCACCTCTGAGATTCTGTATTCAAACAGCAGTGTCCCAGCTTATGCTCTCCTGTTGACCCCAGCTGAGCTGAGCTGGAGCTTTCAGCAGTTCAAAAGAAGATACTGCTGTGGGTTAAAAGGAATGATTTTATAGATGGCAGTGGATGTGATGAAGCTGAAGCAGCAGTGATGTTATTTTTGTGGTGTACAGCTCTGTGGGCAGGACACTCATCTGGGGTTTTCTCTCTGGTTGATCATAGAATCATAATATCATAGAATCATCAGTATTGGAAAAGACCTCCAGGACCATCCACCTCTCACCAACATGTCCCACTAAACCATATTCCTTAGTGCAGCACCTCAACTCTCTTTGAACACCTCCAGGGACAGTGACTCTACAAAATCCTTGTGCAGCCCATTCCAGAGCCTGACCACTAAGAGACAAAATTTTTCCTAACATCCAACCTGAATCACTCTGGTGAAATTTGAGGCCATTCCCAGATGTTAAGTGGGTACCACAACACCAGCCTATGGGAGAGAGTTGGAATGGATGGGCTTCAAGGTCACTTTCAACTCAACCAGTCTGAGATTCTACATCATTCAGGGCATATCTAGCCTAGGCATGGTCTAGCATTAAGACCTAGGCATGGTCTAGCATTAAATGTGGAGGTTGGTGGCCTGCATGTGGCAGGCAGTTGGAGATTCATGATCCTTGAGGTCATAGAATCATAGAATCATAAAATCATAGAATCACCAAGGTTGGAAAAGACCTAAAAGATCACCCAGTCCAACCGTTCACCTATTACCAATAGCTCCCACTAAACCATGTCCCTCAACACAACATCCAGCCTTTCCTTGAACACCTCCAGGCTCGGTGATTCCACCACCTCCCTGGGCATCCATTCCAGTGCCTGACCACCCTTTCTGAAAAGTAATACTTCCTCATGTCCAGCCTGAATCTCCCCTGCTGTAGCTTGAAGCCATTCCCCCTGGTCCTATCACTAATGACACGAGAGAAGAGGCCGACCCCCAGCTCACTACAATCTCCCTTCAGGAAGTTATAGAGAGCAATGAGGTCTCCCCTGAGCCTCCTCTTCTCCAGGCTGAACAACCCCAGCTCCTTCAGCCTCTCCTCATCAGCCCTGTGCTCCAGACCCCTCACCAGCTTTGTTGTCCTCCTTTGAACACGTTCCAGGGCCTCAATATCTTTCTTGCAGTGAGGGGCCCAAAACTGGACACAGCAGTCGAGGTGCGGCCTCACGAGTGCTGAATACAGGGGAACCTTCCTTCCAATAGAGGGTCCTTTCCAACCCTGGCCATTCTGTGATTCTGCAATCTCTGCCTCTCTCAGGAGAACCTCCATGCTGATTACAGGAGGCCTAGATAGTTTGGGAGAAGAGGCAGATGCAGAGCTGTGATTTGAATCAAAAAAGTAACCCCAAGGAGGACTGAGGTGCTGCTTAGAAATGATATTGTTTCTTCACACCACACAGAAGTTACTCTTTAGGATATCTATATTCACTATGGACATCCTGCCTGCTTTTAAGGTAGAACATTATCACTAATTACACGTGTATTTTAAATGGGCTGTGGAATGCCTATAAAAAGGAAAAGTAAACGTGGTAGCAGTGCTAAAGAATAATATGTTGATAACTTTCTTTGTAGCTCAGCAAATACTGTAGCTGCCAGGAAGTTCAAGCCAGCTCAAAATTAAAAGTATACTGTATATCATGGAATCATAGTATGGTTTGAGTTGGAAGGAACCAGTAAATGTCATGTAGTCCAAACCAGCTGCAATAAACAGGGGCATCTACAGTGATAACAGGTAGGTCTGACATGTCCCTTTGTCTGATTTACCTCCAGACAGCCTTCTCCAAGCTGCGGTACCAAACAAGCTGCCCAGGGATTCACACCCTACTAATGCCAATACAAGGACATTCTTGATTTCACCTCTAAAGAATCAGCCACACTTTTTGTTATGGTTTTGTTGCATGTCATTAGTTTCACTTAATATCATGGTCTTCTAACTAAAACAAAAAGACTTTGCACTGTGGCAAAGAGTGACAATCAGCTTCAGCTATGATGCATTGTCTTGAATTTTCTTAAGCTCCTTCAAATAAAGGAAAAAGGATAGAGACAAATTCCCATATCCAGGATTATTTGTTTGAATGCAATGCAATTAGAGTTTCATTAAGGCAGCTTCTTATCTCCCTGGCTTTGACGGCATGAAGTAGCATTAAAATTCCTAGGGAACCAGCTCTGCAGAATTCAACTGTTTGGGTTGAATCCAACCACATTTGGACAAAGGGGTTTTCTGTTTGCAAAGTGGGATACCACATCTATAAGATGCTGTACAGGGGCAGACAGATACACCTAGCTGTAGCAATAATAGAATAACCAGCAGTATTCACTCTACTCCAAAGCATCACTGACCAATTTTTTTTCCCTCTTGCTGTTAAGCTTCAGCATTGAAATCTTACTGCCATTTTTGGTGCCATTTGAGTCTTTGTCTCCATCGCTTTACTGTGATTCTGAATGAAATATCAATGTATTTAATCTAGATAGGAAAAAAATAAAAATTAACAAAATTAAAAAATTAAAGAAAGACTGCTCCCTGCTTGTAAATTGAATTTTTGGCAGTATGAAACATCATTGATAATTGATGCATTTTAATTGGTATTTTTGCACTTGCATTTCTGGTAAACCAAAAGTAGCATAAGTTATGGCCAGCAAACAGTATACAAAAAGAGAAAAAGAGTAAAGAGAATTTAAAAGGTCTTTTATTGTTATTTTAGTAGAAGAACGACACTGAGAATATTTTGTAAATAAATGGAGCAACAAATGGTTAATTAGAGGTTTGATAGCTTAATCTAGCTTCTCATTTCATTGTGCTAGTTAGCACTAACTGTGAACCATCTGTCTGAGGGTTTAGCACTACCCCCACAAGTATTTCATTATGCAGCTTTAATATGCACTTTTGACAGAAATGGAAATGGGCTCAGATCAGTTTTCATGTCACTCCAAGCGACATAAGTTTTCAAGGCTGGAATACAAATCAGAGAACACAAATCCTTCCTCCCCTTCACCAGAGCACTCCCAGCTCCACTGCCTGCAATGCAAATGCTGTGTTCACCTTTGCAGGGAAGGTGGAAATGAAAACTAACAAATAAAGTTCTCTGCATTCCATGAGGGTGTGGATATATGCATCAACAGAGGAGTTTTCTGTTTCTCCAAGAAAAACAGAAACTATGGGTACAGCTTTCAAAGCCTATAAAATCTTTTTCCCAAGCAGTGGCATTTATGGCCTACCTGTTGCTTCTGTAGAGACATGAGGGCTATAAATCGTCATCTGTGTCCAAGTGAGAGCTCCTTTTGCCCACATCTCTGGGAAAGCCTTGTGGGTGGGATGGTCCAGCAGGTTGTGTGTTAGAATGGCTGGATAAAGCTGGTGAGAACAACGTGGGGATATGCTACCTGCCTTTGAGCTATTGCTAATTCATGGCTGCAAGACCTGGAATCCATCTCCATGAATAAGCTGGAGATGAGTTCATTTTATATGATGACAATCTGTAAAACTCAGGGGAAGTTACAGGGGAAGTAGCAAAGAGAGATTGACCATGATGACTGAATCAAAGCAGAGAGCAGACTGAGTTATTCCTCAGGCACAGGGAGAAAAATTGTGTGTCTGTGGCATCCATTTGGAAGACATATGCTGAAGGTCTAATTCTTTGGAAAGCTGCAAAAGAGCTGCTGTGAAAAAAGTTAAAAGTGCTAGCTCAAGTTTAAGAAAGCAGGGCAATGCAGTGAAGCTTTGTAGAACATGGCAGGTGAACAGTGGCTCATCATTGGATTGGAAAATAGTGGTTGCCTAGGATCAGTGTTTAGAAACACATTATTTATGGGGAAATGAAGGATAGCTTTGGTCTAGTAGGAAGGATAAAGGAGCTGAGGTCGTGCCTTGAACCATTGGAACTTTCCCTGTTCTTGTCAAGAAGTTGAGTTGTAGAAATTCAGCAGGATATCTCCTCCAGAAACATGGCCTCCAGAAGCATGCAAAATGAGGTCAGCAGAGATACGTTCCTTCTTCAATGACATGTAATGATGTGGAATTGGCATGCCACTCTATCTCTATTCTAGCAATACAATGATCAGGCCCATAGCAAAGAAACTACGCTGTACACCCAAACAAAAGTGCTGTTCACAAGGAGCTGGTGGCTGGGTAGGGAAGATTAAGGCAAGCATAGTGCCTTTTAGCAAGATAGGACACCAGGGAAAAATGCAATCAGTAGAAGCAGTTGGTGCCATTTTACATACTGTATTCAAAACTCAGGAAGAAAATGACGCTTTCCTTGTACTAGCAGGAAAAGAAAGAAATCTGCCTGCATGCTAGATAAAGAGAAAGGCAGGGAAATGAGGCTTTGCTTGAGAGGATGGATTATCTGAACGAGTGCTCACTGCCTTTCTTCTCTTTCTCAAGCGTGGGGAGGCTTAGCACAAGCAGGATGCACAGCAATGAGTGATGCAGAGCACATTACCCTCTCCAGGAACCAGTCTGGGCGCATCCCCTTCGCATCTGTCCTGATTCTCATCTTCCTCAGGGGTGCGATATCAGCAATTTCCATGATGAAGCTGTCCTCTTGGCCTCGCTCAAATCTGGAGGGATTGAAAGACCAAGGAGGTTTCCTGCTGTCTCACCATGTCATCGCAACCCAATCCTCATGCAGCTCATGCCTTGCCAGCAGCCTTGCATTGAAAGTTTATGAGTGCGTTTTATGGGACTTGAGCTCTCCTGCCCTGTGATCACCAGCTACTGTGTTTTTGGCAAGCTGTCTTGGCCCAGATCTGACAGGAATTCCTCCTTCCCCGGAAAATCAAGCCCGTATGAGGTACCTGGAGCAGTTCCAGGCAGCTTGCAGCGTGCATTACTATTCTGACTGCAACCAGAGCAATCAGGTTTCTGCACATCACCTTCTCCCTGGCAGCTGCCCACGTGCCTACCCTTAGCCCTAAAGGAAGGTAAAGCAATTGTTCTAAATCTTCTTTTGCTAAGATGCATCGCATAACTTTGCATTTGCTGTGGTGATAGACAGTAACTGCAGCTCAGCTAAATACAGCCACGTGATTGCTAGCCAGCCCAAAGCCCACGTTTAGTAACTGAAGACAAATGGTGTTAGAAAGAGACTCAAACTGACCATCCCACACCCCCTCCTCAATCTGGATTTGCAAACCAGCCTCATCGTTGCTGAGAACTGAGGTGGGTTTTTTATAATGCTGCTTCAAACATCTTACCCTATGCTTGGCTGCTGTATACAGGCACCAGGAGGTGTAAGAACTGCTCATCCATAGCAATCAGCAGAAAGAAAGAAAAGGGGGAAAGCAGCTAACATATGCTTCCTGAAGAAGACGTCATACTGGCCAGGACTGCCACTACTCTACCACTCTTGTAACATCAATGGTGCCAAGAAACCCTTGCTCCAGTGCCTGTGTTGCTTCAGGCTCAGTAGTACTTGGTTTAGAATAAATGAATCTGCCAGCTTTGCCCCAAATACTCTGGCAGACTTGCTGCAAGCATGCAGATGGAAATCCACTCTTTGCTAGGAGCAGGGCAGCTACATGCAGAGATCTGTCCAGCACCAGCATGGCCACTTGTTGAGTTGTGTTGAGGTCCACATTTGCAAAAAAAAATTCTTTTCATGAGCAAGCAATACGGTGGGATCTGAATCATCTGAGCAATCTGGGGAGAGCTCTGCAAGATGTGGGCACTACCATAATACAGATAAGCCAGAATTATGCTATCTTATCCCTGGCACTGTACTCAGCCACCTACTGCTGCACAGTGCCAAAGCACAAAGAAAAAACATTCTTTTAGTAACCCCTGCTCAGATTACACCCTGCAGCATGAATGTGATTATCCTCACACCATTATCTGAGCCACATGGCTGCAGATGTTAGCAATAGGGCTTGGCTGGAGCCTCTCAGTTTTCATCCAGCGTTGCTTCCCCTCCACTCCCAGAGGCATTTGGACAGGGTGTTCTGGTCCCAGTTCACAATTATTAAAAGCTGTGTTAGCTCTTAAAAAAAACTCCCCTCTATTATTTGTCTTTGTGTGGTACTGGATACCAGGACATCCCTTTTCACCATGAGAAAGAAAATGAGAAAATGGGCTTTTGTGCCTGGATTGGAGTGATTTCTATTTCTGTGTCAGAAAAAGGTGTGACCCTTCCAACCTGGATCATCCTGTGGTCCTGTCACTGGTTTTCAGTGCAATCACTGTTACTTAGAAAGCTGCAAAAATAAGAAATAGACCTCTCTGTAAGTCTGGTACTCACCTGTTACTTCCTAGAAGTGATTACATGAGAAGGAAACAGTTTCTAAGGGGACAAAGCAAGTGATCCAATAGCATTTTTCTATCCTGAATTTATATGAACATGAACAGAACTCCCCCCAGAAAACAAAGATGAGAGGAAAGAAGTACCAAGAGGAATTGTCTGGCACCTTGCCTTTTCTAGGACACTGAAGCATTTATCTGAGGGATTTCATTAAGCTTTCCTACCATGTCTGCACTTATAAATATTTCTATTGCCCGGAGGTCTTGGCAATAACAGTAATGTAGCTAAAATTGCCTTAAATCTGTGACAGGTTAGGCAGACAGCTCTTCATAATGCACTAAGCTGCTGTGAGTGAGTTGGCACAGCATGGTCCCCGTGAAGATGAAGTGTCTTTTACCCATTTGGTAAGAGATGCATCAGTATCTCCCTACAACACCAGATATCAATATCCTGGGAATATAAGCATAGTAATTACTGTTTTTTTACATGTCCTTCTTATTTATACCAGGAGTTTCTATCATCTTTTTTTTTGTTTTGTTTTATTCCGGTAGAAGAAATACGATGCCACAAACAGCTCACAAACTGTGTGGCACACTTTTGTTGGGTTTTCATATCCTCGTATCCTTTCATATCCTCATATCCTTTCATCACTCCACTTGTATAGATAAATACGATTTTTTTTTTATAGGCCACATAGTTTATGGATGTTGCTTGCCTGGTCATGAAGAGCAAAACTGCAGGGGCTGCAGCTGCCTCAGTGCCTTAGGAGAGCTTTGGTTGATGAACCCTGATGCAAACTCTGCTTTGCTTCTAAGAATGAGCAGTCATGGTTTGTTTTCCCACCTAGGCTTAAAAAATGGCAGACAGATGAGCATGGGATTGCTTGGGGTCTTGGAAGGGGATGTCACTGGTTCTGGGACATGTTGCTAACCAATGCAGTGCCCTGCGTGTTGGATGTCTTTGGTGGGGAGCAGCATGACAAGCTCTGGCTTTCCACAGAGATTTCCATCAGCAGCATCTCTGCTGCATTGGTCTCAGAGCAAACAAGATTTGTTGCTAGCTAAACACACAAAGGATTCAAGTCTAGATGAAAACACTTGCCCAGACACTTGCTCTGCTATGACATCCCCTCAGCAAATAGCTCCATGCTTTGAGCCTTATATTCAATTACACAGCGTGTGGTACCCAACACTGCAGTGGAGGATCTGCATCGCTTGGAGGATGGGAAGAGTCCAGCATCATCTCAGCAAGCTGTGCTCAAATCATGTGGCCAAAGGCTCCAGTGTTTTTGACACTCTGCTTTGCTGGGAACATCAAGCTCAGAGGTCATCAGCTAATTAAATTTAAGCATAACGAAGCTTGCCTCTAAAAGATGGTTAGTGCCATGCCTGTCTTTGAGCATGCCAAAGCTTTCTGTGCTGAAGGAGGTGTTAGGAACAGGAAAGCTTTAGGAAATGGATGAGTAGCATGTGGGATTTTTGGCTTGCAGAAGTGCTGGCATCAAACTTGGGTTACAGCATTTGTTAGCTGTTCCTGCTGCAGAAAAACATAAAATTTCACCTTTTTAGCAAAATCAGAGCATTCAGTGTGGCATTCCGTGCATCTCACATCCTATTTCCATCTCTCTGCACACCAAGGCCACATCTGCCCAGGCAGATGTCATCACATGTCCCCTTCATGCCAGCTGCTGAGGAGGCAGCCCTGGTTGCTACACTGAGTGGTTGCAGCAGTGTGGCACGGATCCAAAGCCAAGAAGTTTCATAGCCCCTTAGCCTAGACTTTGGCAGCCCTCGTGCTGCTTTAGGATGCAAGCTGTCTGACATCTGGCCATCTAAGAAAGGAGGAGCATATGGATCGGAGTCAGCACCTTCACAAGGCAGGCACAGGCATATTGGTTTGTCTTTCCTTAATTATGCAATCACTAATGGTTTCCCATCTCAGCCATTAAACAATGTTTAGATTAAATTACTTACTCTGCATAAAAGATGTGTTTTACAGAAATTGCACCTGTGGTTTTCCTGAAACATGCACAGTTTCTCTTGAGGTCGATGAAGTACTTCACCACTCATCTTTCTGCTTGCAGTGTTTCTCTCTTAAGGCTGCTGAGGTTAAAAAATACTCCTACAAACAGCCACAGGATTATCTCCACAGGTATACAGAGCACCTTTTTTCTCCACTCTGCTAAATACATAGCATAACTCTTAAAAGACTCCTGAGTTCAAGTTCAATGAAATCAATGAGTTTCAGTAGAAGTATGATCAAAGCCTCCAATACTTCTTGACTTGATGCTAGACTACGTTATCACTCCACTGCTCAGCAACAAAACTGACAAAGTTTCTGTACCTATCTCCATTTTTATCCAGCTGCATCTCCTCAGTGTTCCCATTGGATCCAAAGACAGTCATGAAAATACCAGCATCGGTACCGCCGCTTTCGATGTCTCCAGTCACAACTGTGACTTCGTATAGGATCTGTGGAAGGTTTCAGACAATGAGATCTCATTCAAAGATCTGCCCTCGACCCATGCAAAACCCTGGGCAAAAGGCTATCCAGGCTTTGCTTCTATGTAAGAAATGGTTATAATGTGGCTTCTGGGATTTCCTTCACAGTGCAGTTTTTGGAAGTGAAAAACAGAGAATGAAACTTATTACAGGACCTTCCCCTTTACATAACCTAGCATTTGGGGAACAGATTTTCTCAGCCTACACACACTCCAAGAGGAAGGGACATCCAATATAATCAGCACAAGCTTGGAGCACCGTGGGGATCAACTGCAAAATGTCTCTCCCAAGTGCTTGGTGTGTGCATCTGGGTGACATTTCATCCAACACAGTTAACAAAGTTAAAGTCTACACATCTAAGCACTTGGTACAAGGCAGCTCCCTCACTGCCCAAGGAGACACAGTCCGCCTGCATCCGACTGAGAGCGTTCCCAGATCTCCTACTTTAAAGCTATGCTGATTTGTGAAAACTACTCTGCATCATTTTCACCTTATTAGTCTAACTTTGTTCTTTTCTCCTGACGTGTGAATAATAAGATTCAGAATAAAATATTTCAAAAGCATGCAAATCCCACTAGCTGTCAATGGTTTTAAGACTTCTGGGCCACTTAGATGCTTCCAAGACTGTACCTGTGCTAACAAGACCTCTGGATTTGAGAGGAGAAAGAATAAAATGAAATAACCCCAACAGAATGTATTTCAGATGCTGTTCTGTCATGCATGTTTTATTGGCCTGAATTGTAGATGCCACATAAATCAATAATGCAAAGGAATAATATCACAGAAGAATTTATTTTTTATGTTCATTCAGACTTCAGCATCTCGTCTATCTTTTATTCATCCACACATTTAAATCATAGTAGAGCATCTTATTTGATGTAAGTGGGAGAAGAAAAACTCTTTTACAAGTACATTAGGGGTTTTTAATGACTGTGATGGATACTATTTCCTCTATGTTTGGGAAGGCAAATAATGAATTTAAAACAAGGAGAAATATCAAGCCAAGAAGAAAATTAAATTGAAATGGGTACATATGGCTGTACAAGAGTCAAGCAAAAGCAAAATAAAACAGCATGAATTTTCTTGAAGCTAATAAAGGTTTTAGTCTTCTTTGAACTCTATTAAAAAAAAAAAGAAAAGAAAAGAAAAAAAAGAAGGAAAACGTAGTAATTCAATTTCTAACTACATCAATGTATGAGGGAGCAGTCCCAAATCCCCTCTACTAGGAGACTGATCAGGAAGTCGGACGTGCACTTCTGATTTCATATCTCAAACATCTCTCCTGATTTTCTTCAAATCTTTCAGCAAGTTTCTGGCCCAACATCACAGAAAAAAAAAAATGTTATTTAGATGTGTCTATTTGTGGCATGCTTATGAAAAAAAATATTCAGCACCAGGCTTTTAAAGGGAGGCAGAACAAAAATCCTCATTAGCATCCATCTCAATCTACAGACAAATCGTCAGATCACTGACAGAAGTTTTCAAACTTTATTCAGGAGGTTAAGCAACCAAAGGGAAGTTTTGAAGCAATTATGTTTCAACCTTAGTGTTCGTCTGAAGGAGGTTATTTCCCCTCTTAGGGGATTTCTACTGCTGAAACCTGCTCTGATTTGTTAAACTCTTTGCAGTTGTTAGATATGTTTGCATGCTTTTGTGTGTCTGGGGAACAAACTATTTCAGGAGAAAATATTTAGCTTGGGGATCAAGAGCAGCACAAAGAAAAATTAATGTCCTTCAAAAGCATTACCTCACTGTACACAGAAACACAACTATAGGTATTCGAAACTGACATACAGGCATTAATTAGAGTATTATTATCTCATTCATCCAGATTGGCATTTCTATTATAAATCTTACCCCAGAATTCAACTTAGCTCAGCTTTCCAAATTGTACCTGGTTGAAATATGGCATGGTACACCTCACATCAAATTCCATATATTTGAATGGAAATACTGTATATTTTTTACATCGTTTGTTCAACTTCAAACTTTCAGTCATTTGAAAGATCAAACTTACAAATGCCTACACGTTTCATCAGCTTCCAATTATTATTACTTTCTAACCAAATTAATGTTTTTCAACTTCAGGTAAGAAAAGTGGACATGTGGCCACAGGATGTGGAGATTATAATATTCCCTTCTTCAAATAAAAATCTCAAACCACGAGCAGAAATCAAAGCATGAGGACTGCTGATGCATGACTATACCAGCTCAGCTTCATGTTGAAGGTACAGGATGAGCTGAGGTCTTACCTTGATGCCCACGTTGACACAGTCTGCATCCAGAATGTTGAGGATCCGTGAGGTGAGACCATCACCCTTGTCTCTGGCCAGCCAGCATTTACAGACAAAGTTGTACATGACACCTTTGGTGGGCACGACAATGGTGAGCTCTTCCAACAGCCAGCAGCTCTCAGGGGTGGCACCATCGTGTCCCACCTATGAGAGTCACAGAGAAAACACATGCTGGTTACTGGGAATTTCTTAGAGGAGAGCTGTGAATTGCTATCTTTGGTCTCTGATGAGTACTGACAATATACACTTTCATGCAAACTACTTTCACAGGAGAAGAGATGAGCTGCAAAACCATCTGTGCCCTTTCTGCTCAACAGGCAACGCATCAGTGTGCATGCTAGCTGATTTGGGCAGGGAAGCTTGGGTCATCTCCTGCCTCTCATGAATGCAGGGAGGATAATGCTATCCCCAAATGTAATCAAAGGGACCATGAGGTAGGTGGAGTGCACTAACCTACACAAAAACACATCCACCCCCTTACTGCCCCACTGACCACTACCCACTGCTGATCTCTGCGCATTTCTCCATCCTTCCAAACCCTTCAGTTGCTTAGAAGTGTCAATCCAAAGCTCCGTAGCCAAGATGGAAAATATATCTATACAAACACCTGCACGTATTATTCGTATTATTCAAGCAATTCTTGCCTCACAAATCCACAGCTCCTTAATTTAAGTATGTGCATCAGGCTGTTTCTATTTCCTTGTATTATATAACCTCTGTGTTTGTATTGAGGAGCCAACAGAAGAAGCTGTTGCCAGTTGATTTGCAAAGACCACTTCCTCCATGCTCAATGGCAGACCATGCCATCCTGAAGAGCAGGAAACCACGTAAGAGTGGCAGGAACTTCACAAGCTCTGCATGTGTCTCTCTTACAGGATGCAGGAAACTTGTGCTTACTTCCATGCAGACTTACAGGGATGATTATCCGTCTTAAGTGCTGTAAGAAATTCTTTCAGTCACTCCAGTGAACTATCTGTACATGAAAGGCTGGATAAAAGACCTACCTACAGCTCATTATTTTCAGAGAAAATGTTGTTTATGCCATTACTGGGAAAATGAGGTCTTTAGCTTTCATTTAAAAAAATAAATGGTGATACTTAGAGCTGCTCAGGAAACAGTTTTTTATAACAAGTTCATCTGGAGTAATGTATCGATCATGTCTTTTTTTGCCCCAAAACGAGTAATCTTTTTTTATCTGTCTCAGCTATCACTGCTATTAGGAACATTATTACTATACTAATGTCTATGCAGCTGCAGAAAATTAGAGTTAACCACCAGGGAAATTTCAAGTATACAATGGACGCATTAATTCTCAGATTTCATGGGTGTGAGGTGAATGGGAATACAACACATTCCCATTCCCTCTCTGTCAGCATGGCGGTCCTTCCCTGCACCCACAGCTCTGAGATCTGTGCAGTGCCCCTTCAGACGTGTTGCAGAATGGTGTTGGTGAGGTGGTGAGGAAGGTTCACATCCATGGTTCAGTTTTAAGGAAGGTCCTGATGATACCATTAAAGTCTGCTGCTCTTTGGGCTTTATTACAGCCATGTCCTCACGCCTTGTTCCAAGACATGGCTAAGACCAGATATTTACAGCAACACCTAACTCTTTTGGTACCAGTGAACAAAGCATTCTGCTCTCTAGGCACCTTGGAGAACATGCATGCGGGCAGATTTCCATGGTCCCTTAGAATAACACTGTAAAGTCTGGGACAAATTCATTCAGTGGTGAGTCATCCTTATGACTGGATCTGTAGAGTAGAGCATTAGAGTTCATCAGCTCATTTCTGAATTTGTATTCAAGTCTGATAAGAATAATTGGCCAAATACAACTTTCAGATTCAAGTAAAGCTTCAGATGGGCCATGCCAGTGCAGTAAGCAATCTGAAGCTGTGTCCACCAGTAGCATAGATTGAGTGTACATACCAATACAAAGACAATTTGAGAAGTCTGAACAAGCTGGAGAGACAGCATTTCCATGGCAGGCAAAGCTGTAGTCTGCTTTGAAAATCTGTTTAATTCATTCCTAGTGTGTCTGAGGGACTGATGGGTACTTCAGACTAACACAGCTAAGGCACCATTTGCACTGAGCAGCTCACAGACACATCAGGGGAAAAATAAAACGAAGGTAGGCAGAAGGGAAAAGTGCTAAAATATGGGTTTTCCTGCTAATTTTGTAAGGTGTTGGGAATATTAGGAAGACCTCGTGGTTTTCCAGGACCAGGTCTGTATTCAACAGGGAAGTGGACTTTAAACACTCCTGTTTCCTTGGCTTTACTTTGTGCCTGTGGTTGAACGGCTCTGAACTAGAACTGGTTTAAAAGCATATAGCTCAAAGCAGGACTTTTTAGAAGGCACCTCTCTGCAGCTGCAGCAATCCAGGAACAAAGATTCTTTTGTTCATCAAAAGAAATTACTAAAACTGATTTTAAGAACACGCTATGAAATGTGTGTACCCAATAATTCCTATTGTGTATTTTCATGTCAGCACGGCCTTTAAAGTAGTAAATATTATGACTGTAAATTTACAAGACAGGTACAAATGGGACCCTTTTGAATTCATTCATGTTCCACTGTTTCTGCTTCCACAAGTTTTTGCCACAGGAGAGTGGTGCCAGTCTAAAAGTGGCATCATACTGCAAATCTTACAATCCTGCTAGTCTGTTGCCTGGGTTATATGGAGGGCTTCTGGAAAATAAAATCCCCCTGCTAAGCTATTTGCACATGGTAACACATTCAAAACCTCTTGCCATCTTTCAGAAGCAGACAAATGCCAAATCTGAGAATGAATTGTTCCTCACTCTCCCCAAGTAGATAACTAGCAATTTTCTGCAATGGCCCTGAACACTGCAATTTTCTACAAGGAAAGTACAGACTGGCTCCATGGCAACCAAGGCATACAGGCACAGAGATGCCATCACTGGGATGTGAGTGAACAGGGGACCTTCCAAGCACAGGGTACTGCAGGAAGGAAAGCTCAGAACCCAGTGCAGGTGACCTCCAGCCACAGGCCTGGGAGTCACAAACTGAAAAGGGAAAATAGAAAAAGAAACAACGCAGCAGACTGGTGGAATCAATGAGGTTAGTGGTGCAAGGGTCCATAAGAGTGCTATCCATCCTCAAAGTGATGCCATCTGCTTTACTAACTCTGCATTCCATTTACAAAGTTTTCTCTTCTCTCCCATTTGTAACCCTTGTGAAATTACTTATTTTCCTTTTCTTTCCTCTATTTCCAAGTGTCTACTGCTATCTTCTACTCTCTGTTCCTTCCTCCCCACTCACTATCTGCTTACAAGCATATTGTTTTCCCCAGACAGCTCTCTCCCCTCTCTGACACAGAGCTATTATGTAGGCTTTTTCCTGCCAGTCTGAGCTGGGCTGATGAGGCTGCTTCCACATGCATGCAGTCTAGAAAAGAAGAATTTCTATAGTTGCTTCACTTTCCAACTTCGAATGAGAGATGGCCAGATAGAAAATGCCTTTAGCATCCATAATAACCACGCACTTGGAGTGAATTAAGAAAATGTCTTGATAATGAACTCAAAAGTAGCATGGGCAATTCTCAGTGTGCCAGAATCCATCGCCTGAATGAAAAGGAATTGGATTGCTTCAATCTATCAGCTGCTACAACAGGGTGCACAACTGCAAAGGTTTTTAATTGGGATTTCTCTCTTTGTATCTCTTTCACACCTGTCTTTTCGAATACATAAGCACACACATCTAAAAAGATGTTTTTCATAACTCAGGTATAAAAAAGGGAGGGGTGGGGTTAGGGTTAGGATTAGGGTTAAGGTTAGGGTTAGGGCTGGGGTTGGCTTTGGGGAGAGGAGAGGAGAGGAGAGGAGAGGAGAGGAGAGGAGAGGAGAGGAGAGGAGAGGAGAGGAGAGGAGAGGAGAGGAGAGGAGAGGAGAGGAGAGGAGAGGAGAGGAGAGGAGAGGAGAGGAGAGGAGAGGAGAGGAGAGGAGAGGAGAGGAGAGGAGAGGAGAGGAGAGGAGAGGAGAGGAGAGGAGAGGAGAGGAGAGGAGAGGAGAGGAGAGGAGAGGAGAGGAGAGGAGAGAGGCTCATGACATCTTATGATGCTCTATGTTTCAGGACTCAGGGGCTGGAGCAGGTGTTCAGGAGATGGAACTGCCATATAAAAGGTGAATGATACACAGCAACTGTCTGGAAGATTCATGTAAGGTTTTGGCTCAGTGATGGAGACTCTATGCAAATTCTGTCTCCCTGAGCCACAGCAGAAAGAATGGCTCCTTCACTGATATCTATTTGTGCATGTTACTTATGAGCAATGATTAATTGTCTTCTCTAAGCCTGGGTCCTCCAAGCTCTGAAAACAATTTTCATGTTTAGCTGGAAAATTACACAAGATGTGTTTCTCACTGCAGGCAATTTATGAAACCCAACTGGAAGTACTGTAGGAATCAAATCAGAAAAAGACTGACGGACGGCTGCATCCTGGGAACCTGCAGTGCAGCTGTCAAGCAACAAGGTTTGACTAAGAAAAAACAGTGCCAGAGTTGGTACTAAACTGTGACATGCTACGACTTCCCTCTATTTCAACATTATCTTCTACCTCCTGAGCACTTCAGATTTGCCAGATATAAAGATACTTATTTTCAGGGCTGGTAGCTCATGTAATCATTGTAATCGCATTAGCACTTTCCCACCTACATTCATCGCAGACCCCAGTGCCTCTCCTTCACTGAGTGCCATGGAATCTGTTGTTTCCTTGGCTGTGTATCCCAGGTGCCCCCGTGCCCACACAGCACAAATTACCTCCACTTTTTTGATTTCCCCAACATCCAGGCCCCAAACAGAGAATTTCTCCACAGAGCCATCTGCAAACTCATCTTTTCCTTCAGGGAGATCCAGCCACAGCCTCTCAGTCTGCACTTTCTGAGGACCCATGATGATGATGAACACTCGGCTGTCGGTGCTGGAATCGTACTCAATGCCCGTCGTGACAGTGATATGGTATGGGATTACTGCAGGGTTAAACCAAGGTTTAATCATCAGAAACACCCCAAACATACATGCATACGTGAGATTTCATCCTACCAGAGAAGGTAGTTTCATTGGGTACAACGACATGCTGTATGGGGCAACAAGTTGCCCTGGAAAACTCTATTCACATACACATTTCAGAGTGAGTGTTGCAAGGGTTACATTCCTTGCTGGCTCCAAGGAGGTTACATGGGCACAGCACCAAACAGATTTCTCCCCGATAGCTGTTAGAACAGCAAAAAGGCTTGAAATCTTATTTACACTGAGAGACCTTCCTGAAAATGAGTCCAAGCACCTAAATCTTTAGTAGGCCATTAGACCACAGTGATCTCACGCTCACCACTCAGAAAAGGCAAATAAATATACACTGACTCCAAGGTGAACCATCAATGCTGGAATGTCCCAGTCCAACTGCAAATGTTCTCTCTTCTGCTTTATGTCAAGGAGATCTGTGATCTCAGGGTTCCAGCATCCCTCTGCAAATCCAGCCAAACTCTTTGTATTAAAGGCAGTTCAGCCCACAGTTTTATGCATTACATAATAATATTGATTAAAGGAAAAACCTCCAGGCCAAGGTTTGGGACTTTTATTTTTCTTGTTCTTTTATTTTTTTTCCCCCCCCACCTCCCACTTCTTGTTGTTTTCAAAAAATTTCAGTTCATCTGTTAAAAGGGAGGAAGTGCCAGACTGCTTTTCAAGTGCTTTCCAAAAGCTCATTTGGGTAGGCCAAGTGGATGGTGCAGAATGAGATGCTGAATACTTGTTTGATTTCTTAGAACATTTATGCAAGGCACTCCAAGCCGTTCTGAAAAGACTCCGAGCTCCCAAACTTGCATTGCTTCAGACTCAAAGCTCAGCCTGGCTCATCATCACCTTTTCATTTTTAATGAGGGTTCATAAACCTTCATTCAAGCTTGGCTAGCTTTCAGATGATCTATGATTTACATCTAATTTTGCCTTATGAAAGCTAAAAACATTTTTGGGTGGAGGTTGCACTAGAAACTTACTGCAAGTTCAGAATGTGTTCAATATCAGAAAAGACACAAACTCAGGCAAAGCAAATCTGTACTTACTTCTGGGCTCAACAGAGCCCAAAAGCTCTGTTCAGACCCCAGTCTGAGGCATCTGTGCACCAGCACAAAATGTGCTGTGCACCAGCGAAACTCATTCTCCCTTTTATGGTATAATTTACATTTCAGTGTGCACATAAGCATAATAATCTGTGATGCATTCTTCACAAAGTAACCATTGGAGTAGAAAAGGTTTAAGCAACAGGATAGAGATTTCATGGGAATGTCAGGGAGTCCTGTTTAGATCAGCTCCAAGATGTTTCCTCTTCTGTACAGGTTTCATCCTGTATTCCTCTGACAAGCTTCACAGAAGGATCAACTTTTCCAGCTGATGCTGCATCCTTGAGCCAAAGCACTGGAAATACCTATGCTAAATTTGAAGACTGTGAGAAATAACCACATCCCACCACTTGCTGTTCTTTCCTCTAAAAGCTGTGAAAGTGATCTGTAATGTGTGTATGGCCCTCCTCCACTGACTCCTTTCTCTAGGACTCCATAGTCATACTTCTTCCAACCCAGGAAATGCAATACCTGGGGAAAATAGACATCACAGAAGAGCCTGGTGCCCAACACAGGTCTCTCAAACTTCTCTCTTTGCTCTTTATGTCCTGAAGTGCTTCTGCAGAGATTAGGTTGTTCAAGGGAACCTGTGCCCCTTGCAAGGGGCTGTGTTCCATGAGGAATGTAGCCAGAGCCTTGCATGAACTAGGATTCTCAGTCCAGGCACAAGTTCTTTCCCCACCAACAGGACTTTTCCCCATGCTTCATCCTCACATCACCTCAGTACTAATCACCCATTTTCAGCATGGGAGAGTCAGAACCAGGCTACTCAGACTGACGCTCCCTTTCCCAGGCAACTCCCAACACCACTTCCCTAATCAACTAATTAACAGCTGGCTCTTTTTCCAGCTCAGGAAGTGGCTGTCTGGCTCAAACAGCCCATCTTATCCAACATTCCTTCAAGATGCATTTCCTTAATGAGGCTCTGTCACTGCATCAGGAATGGAGGTGCTGACAAGCTCCAGGACTCGGAGCAGAAGGACCACCCCTGCACAATGCGGGCAATGGGAACTATCCCAGCTCTGCTCGTGGGAGGTTCTCTGCTGATGTTTTACCCATTATTTGTGAAATGACATGGCATACCAGCCAGGCAGATGTTATCCATTGTCTCACCACAGAAGTAATATCAGAAGGAACATGAGAATAACTTATTTTTCGTTTGAGCACACAGTATGGGATTACAAAAGAATTGCCCCAAGACACACGGATTACAGTTGGGTTAAAAAATGTGCAGCATTCTGCTTCACAACTTGGAGGATTGGGATGTACAGCCCCTGTATCACATCACAACAAACTACCAAACATCAGCTGAGATGCAGTAATCATTCACCACAGTTACCTTGATCCACGTAACAAAGCTTAAAAGCAAATCTTAAACTCCAAAGCTAAACTACATCGTTTTGTACTTTGCTCAGCATAGAAGTTTCAGGCAAGTTTAATGGCTTTGTACTCACCGTGGACTAAGAGAACACAGAGACAGTAACTACAACTCATTTGATGCTCAGCTACTTCTTAAAACACATCTAAAATCTTAATCTAAAGCAGGAAGAAATGATGGAGAATAACAATAAACTGTAAGTACGATTTAGATGGTAAGCCAATGTGCTGGAACTTGGATGTTGTTAATCAAAGTTATAAAGGCACAGAGGTAAAGCCATGCGTTGCAATAAGATTACTAAAAAACAAAACAAAACAAAACAAAAACGACCAAAAAAAACCTAAGAAGAATGGTCTGGGGAAGTTTTCCATAAAGGTTGAATTCTGCTGACTGACAGTGATCCGCTGGGCTTTCTTCACAGACAGCACAGAAGCAAAACCTGAGCAACTTTCCTAACTGCTGTCAGAGGCAGCGGAACAAAATGAGTCTTCTTGCACCATATCTGGCCTCCACAGGTACAGTCCTGCATTTTTCATTTTTTAGAACTTGCAATGCAGACATGTGTGTTCAGCTTTATTTTTGTCTCAAGAACCAGAGCCCAGTGATGAAGCTCTACCTTAGATCCATCAAACATTTCTATCAGTTATCAGCAGAAATCTCAGTACAGATTTTTTGTAATCCCTGTCTTGGAGCAACCACATTTGCAGACCCTCCTGCTCTGTCCAAATATAAGATAATTCTCATTCTAGAAATAACAAGTTCTTCCTATCCTTCCTATTGAAAGCTAGTTTTCTGAAAGCAGAGAGTTTTCTGTACTCTTGCTCAGCTCTCTGTATTCCACTCCCCTCCCCACCCAACAGCACTGTGATGCAGCTCTGTATTGCAAGGAGAAAAGCTTCAGAGCTGTAAAACAAATTACATTTAAATTCCTATTACACAAACACCCTGGTGATGAGGCACTACTAGTCTGATTCTGAAGTGGAAAGATGTCTTAAGCGTGGCAAATAAGGTCTCAAGATATTGAAAGCCTTCTTTGTTAATTCGGATCTAATATGCTACATGAAACACCATCTTGAGGAGGTCGAAGAGATAAAGGAGGAGGAAAAAAGAGCTGATATCAGCAACAAAAGCTACATTAAGGAATCATGCAGAAAAGAGCTTCTTATTATCCAAGGGAGGCTCTTTTGTTGATAATACGACTTGCCTCCAGCCCTCCTTTGCATACTTTAAAGGATACTTCAAACAAAATTACACAAAACTTAGATAAATTGCTCCCATCTCTCTGTCAGCCCCCTCTGTTCAGAGGGCATAATTCCTTCTCACAGCTCTGAAGTGCTTTATGCAATGAAGTCATGGATGGAAGAGTAGGAAGGGTGAGTGAGAATCTTCAGATCAGTATTTTTTTTTCATCAGGAGGCCTTATGGAAATGATGATTAGCTGCTTTTCCACATGTGATGATGTGGATCCACTCAGATACCTTGAGGTGCACAAGGGATGTGATTTTGGGTTGTAGTTGCCTACAGAAGACCCCTGAACACTTTACCTCAGCCACAGAATCACAGAAACATAGAATAGCCTGGTTGAAAAGGACCACAATGCTCATCTATTTTCAATTCCCCTGCTGCGTTCAGGGTCACCAACCAGCAGTCCAGGCTGCCCAGAGCCACATCCAGCCTGGCCTTGAATGCCTTCAGGGATGGGGCATCCACAGCCTCCTTGGGCAACCTGTTCCAGTGTGTCACCACCCTCTGTGTGAAAAACTTCCTCCTTAGCCATGACAGAAAATAGTATATCCTTGAATGACCACCTACCTAACGTTAAGGTCATACTGTACAAAGCACCATGCAGTTTGGAGAACTGACATTTGCTAGTTTGGCCTCTTCTTGCCCTTCACCAGGGCAAATGTTTTCCTTCCCAACAAGGGAAAGACAAAAACACACGCATGCATTCAGTCAACATGTTGCTCACTCACATAATCCTTCTTCTGCCGACTTGACCAAGCGGGATTTTTTCTCCTTTGGGTTTCCACTGCTATCCAGACTCGATAGGCTGATGGAGGACTCACTCAGGCTTCTCCGTTCACCATCGTAACTCTAATTAGAAAGGCAGGTACAGGAGGGTAATGTGGTTCAGAGCTCACACTGCTGTCAGTTGTTCCTATGTACCTCTAAAGGCAACGTGAGGAGAAAGCCCTGTAGCTCCCCAGGTAGCATTTTGCTCAGCATAGCTCAAAGAAATGTGACTTGTAATTTACTGCAGGTCATTTATTTACCTTATTGTTGTAACCTTGACAGATTGTTACAGATGCGTGTTATAATGAAAGAAAATATAAAGGGCCTAATAGACTTGAATGGTGTGTCGTGATTCTTTTTCTGTTACCTGTGTGAGCAGTAACTAGAGAAAATTCAGGCAGATGGAGCAGAGCCAGATTTGCTTATCAGGGCACACATTGTGGTGTCAGAATAAATTACCTAGTGTAGGTTAACGACTCTGAGAGGGAGAGTACTACAAAATGGAATGATATGAAATATCAGTTGTGTTAGAGCAGTTATTGCAGGTGTGTACAATGTCACTTTCCAATGAATGTGGCCATCTTACCACACGGTCACATAATTTAAAATAAGTTATTAGTTTTTCTTCATTATGAAGGAATATGAGCAACGGGGCAAGCAAGATCACAAGAATTCATAGCATTGTCTGCTGCAGTTTTATGAGGAGGCATATGGCAGTACTTATCCATGGTGTAACTCTTCTCACATCCATTCTGCTACATTCTGGATTAGTCTGGTGCAGTTTCATTGATGATAATTTTAGTTGTAGCTTTCAATTAAAATGTCACTATATTTTGCAAAGTGGACTCCTTAAATAAAATGGACTTATAATTAGCTGCTTTATTATGCCTCACTGTATAGAAGCAAGAGAGGTCTATTAATCTTGTTTGCTAATTTGAATTGGTGCATGAGCCTTGAATTCCAATTAGCCATATTAGCCTGATAAAGCAATAGAGAATACAAAAGTAGAAAGGGCATTTCACTAAAAGCCATTTTGTGCTTAGAATGGTAACAGAAGACTTTTGATATTTGTCATCGGTGGAAGGAGCTGAAATGATAAAGCTCATCCTCAAAGGATGAAGTTGAAGGACCCAAAGTTTTTGCTTGAGGACTTAGAACAGTAGGACATGAAAGTTGTCTACTTTACGGACGCAGCAAGGAGAACAGTGGCAAAATATACACTACTGTACATTAGTAAGCCAGTTTGACTCTCAGCTGAACAGTTTCACTTACAGACCTTGATCTTTCTATTGACACTGCAAACTACAGAGCTAGTGATACCAAGCTGAGAGTGGCCATGCTTTGAGTGCTTGTCAGAAAGTCACAAATTCAGTCTGGACAAGATAAAACCAAAGGTCCTTATCACATCATTGTGGACTTCAGTCAGATATTCAACAATTTTATTTTTACTGGTAGTAATTAAGTTGGGATCACAGCTGTGAGCTGTACATGTACCTGCTCATAAAGCGTACGTTCTATCTTCTTGTCCTCTTTCTTTTTGGAGAGCCAGCGTTCACAGAGGAACACAAACGACTCCTCTGTGGTCTCATCCAGGATCTCCACTTTTTCCAGGAACCAGTCAGGACTGAACATGCTATTGTCATGGCGAATCTTGATCTTGTACAGAATGCCAAGGTCCACAGCCTGTATCGTAAACGTGTCCTCCTGCAAGGTGTTCAACAGCAGAGGCTTCTGTTAATGAGCTCTCAACAAATTATCTACCAAGCAAAAGCAAACAGAGCCTGCACTGCATAATACATGTTTAAATTCAGACAAGTTTGATTAAATTTATGAGGTCTGTAGAAGTATTTTGGTGCATTAGAACTGTACAGGGGATATTTTTGAGGCACTCTTCCGCTATGAGGGCAGGTGCTCAAAATGTCACTTTCACAATTAGAATTTTGAATACCTGGAATTTTACATCCTATTTCTATATGTAAGATACTTTTTTCTAATGCACTTAGATTTATACAGACTGTCCAGATATTACAGTCTTTGCCATCATTATATCTGAGTATCATCATAGGAAGCTGTGAACATGATTTGAGGACCAACTGCCAAAAAACACTCATCGAGTTATTTTGGCAAATACAGGCACCCATTTAGGATCCATTAATTTATCATGCTCTAAGATAAATTATAATATGCAGTAGATATGTGCAAACCAGTTGCACAGAGACTAGGGAAATTACAGTTCTTAAGTTTCGTGTGCTCTCAAGCCTGCAATTAATAATTCATGGCAGTTTGTGAGGGTCAAGCTCAAAATTGGTCTCTACCAACAACTGCAAAGGAACATCGACCCATTTGCTGCAGTGCCTATCAGTTGTATTAGACAGCTGTCAATCCATACAAAGTATTTTAAGGGGTAATGAACATAATAAATTGAATCAATCAATTTATCCCTCATAGGAAAATTCAGCCTGTAGAACAGTCATGCACTTTGCAGGTTAAAGACTGCAAAACAGCCAGTGTTATTAATTCCTTGCGTTTGTACCTGTCCTCTTTCAAACTTGTTGAAGTTTGTTTCAGATTTGCTGAGTTTCCGCTCTCCAGTATCCCCCAGATCTCCATAGATATTTAGGAAAACGTTAGCATCTGTTCCAGCACCATACATATCTCCAGTGAACACGCTGATTTTGTACGTGTGAACTGCAAAAGGAAATGGAGATGTGATTTCTGGCCAGATGAACTCTCGAAGTCTACCACAGACACTGAATTTACCTATGAAGGTAGTCCCTAACTTTCTGCTTGTTCCTCAGCTCCTGGGGAGTTAAAATCCTATGTGCTTTATCCTTCCAGGCATTTGCTAATGATCCCAAGGTTGGGAATCACTTGAGTGAAATATGCTGACTTTTCTTTTCTCCTTGTAATCAATGCCTGCATATTGCTTTGATCACGTAGTACATAGTTAGAAATGTGAAGAATCATCATGGTTATTACTGGATGTAGCATGGAAAAATACAGACCACAGCTGAACGGGTGACTAGCCCATGAGAAAGGGCTCATGTTAGCTTGGAACATGAGTAAACGGCCTCTATTTCTGCATGTAGAAGAAATGCATTTGTGAGAAGCTGCTCCGTATCTGTAACCAAGTCCCCTTGCTTTCTGTGTATGACCTTGCTTATCTTGTTCTGCAATGCTTTATTGTCTCTGTTGTTTTATATATATGGCCATGCTACTAAGGGATGGCTTGGTCAACTTGCCTGCCAGCTACCAACAGTATCTGCTGGGAGTAGTCCCAACATGGACACTATACTGGTAAGCGACCCCTGGTACTAAGAACTTGGTTGAGATTGACCAGCCCACCATCCCTGGCAACACTGAGTACCTCTCTCCTGAACTGGTGAATGTTAAGTCACCTCTGCATGCTTTCTTTGGGATCAGCAAATCTTACGCAGTGCTTTGTGTGAACTCAAGTGAGGGATGTGAACTCAAGTTCAGGGAGCCTGACACTTTTCTTGTACCGAGGCTCCAGGGATTTAAGTCAGAGAACAAGTGTTGTGAACCCCTAATTTCCCGTCTTCCGTAAATTAACCCCAGGGATTCAGATGTGCAATTACCGCTGGAGTTAATGGCATGTATCTCTGTAAATTCCCCAAACTGAAAGAGAACAGGCAGTATTTAATTAAGGAAGTGCTGGAGATGTATTAAATATTCTTTCTCTTTAGCTTGCTCAATGGTTATCCAATAAAGTTTCATCAAATCTTTAACAATGTGCTTTAATAAATGTGTTAAATACCCCTGTTTCTATTTTACTACTCTTTTCCAAATTACATGCAGAAAACAAATTGAGAACATCCTCTCTAGGAAAACAATTAGGAACCATGCAAGTCTCTAATTACCCTAGTGGCATACAAGCTCTAGAGAATGCCTCATTGCAAGTCTCATGGCAATACAGATAAGAAAGAAGGACAAAGTCTCAACTATGGAGGTTTGCTTCATAGGTTTTTAATACTTTTCCTCATTCAAAAAGAACATTAAAAAATACCTATAGAGTCTTTTCTTTCTGTTCCTATCTTCTCAGGGCATATTCTGCTTTTTAGTACATAAATTATTTCCACTGGTTTCTCTAAGAAATGTATCAGGAGTGTCCTGTGGGGCAGTGCATCAGGTTAGGTGCGATGCCATATATTCTGGTTTGCCTCTTCACTTTGTGTCCTAAATTCTTGTGCAGAGCTATGGCTTTGTGTTTGAGAGATGATTGCCTCAATAGTAATAAAGGAAGCAATGCATATAGACTAATCAGCCCATTTATCCACCTTTGTTCTTTGCTTACCGGTTCTGGACAACTTCTGGACCAAAATGCAGTCTACTACATAAGATGCCATCCTCAGAAAAGCATAAATTAGATTTTCCTTTGCTGTCATTTATACTGCATTAGTGTCCCAAACATGTAGGAACTCAGAGATGCAGAGATATAAACCCCATCTTTCGTATTTTATATAGAAGTTCCCAGACTTAATCCTAGCGTTATCTGCTAGAGCTTGTACCTAGCTCCCAAAAGAAACTTCTAGTTGTTAAAAAATTTGTTCTATAGGTTGTAAGACTTGTATGAAGGCTATGCATTTCAGAGGAGAAAATGAACCACCTGTGTTAGATAGCACATAATAATGAATGCAAGACAAAGTGATGTGAGTCAGTAGGTTAAACAATGTCACAAAGGCATCTAACAAGCACGTTGCTTACAAACTGAGAGTAAAACTGTCTTTTTTCTCCAACAGAAAAACAAATCTCACATGAGATAATAGGAGAAAAGAGCACATCTTTCTCCTCTCAAGGAACAGTGCAAAGGTTCCACTCCGTGAAAAGCATCTCTATAGACTCCACACAAAACTTCTCTTCACTTCCCCTGTGGCAGCTGGAGAAACACTTAACATTCATATAAATTCCACCTTGACAATGATGTACAGTAAATGCAAATCAGACAAAGAAAAGACACAGAAAGGAATGATTTCCTCTGCTGAATCATGATGTTACCAGACAGAAGTACCAGGAAAGAAGATGGCAGCTGCATTCAATTTCCTCTGCTCAGAGTATAGGAAGGTCTACACAGCTTCTCTCAAGAGCAGAAGAGCTTAGTAAGAGAAAAGGAGATCCTAGTGTTGGAATAACAAGGCACACAGAGAAGAAAGGAGGTAGGGACAAAATTTATGTTCTGAATCTGAACACTTTATAAGACAGAATGCTAGACAGAGCTGGATAGGTGCCCAGAGGCACTTGAATCATAGAATCACAGAATCCTAGAAACACAGAGGTGTGAAGGGGCATCTGTAGATCATTGAGTCTGTTGAGAAAAAGATGAGGGTGATTGCCTAAAGCAAAATTTTTAGAGGGTGTCCAAATGCACATGGAGATCACCAGCAAAACCAGCTCTGGGAAGGAATAGGTGTAGAGATCAGACTGATAGAGTAGGAGAAGAAGCTGTGGAGGGCACAGGGAAGGCAAAGTTAGGCAAACAGGTTGAGATGTTTGCAGAGCCTGGAAGACAAGGTCAAGATTTTGATTTGCCATGCAACAAAAGAGAGGAGCAAACATTGCATGGAAGGGGGTAGCTGAAACAGGCTTATACACACAATAGAATCACCAGGGTTGGAAAACACCTCCACAATCATCCAGTCCAACTGTTCACCTTACCACCAACATAACTCCACTAAACCACTTAGTACTACATCTAAAAGTTTTTGGAATACTTCCATGGACAGTGACTCAGCCACCTCCCTGGGTAGACTATGCCAGTGACTGACCACTCTTATGGAGAAGAAATGGTATTACTGCACAGAAGTGCTTCAGACATAGCAGATGCCAGAGGACAGGAAGAAAAAGAAATGTGGATAGGTAGTGGCAGTAGTTTTGTTTGAACAACACATCCAAAATTTTTCAAAAAAATCCACCTGCCCAGATAAATAGATCCCTTCTAAATCCTACTGTCGTATTACCTTCCAGCGGGTCTTCAACCTCTTCTTCTATCTGCTTAAGTGTCCCATCCTTCATGAGCTTTTCAGTAAAAATATCAGAAGGTACCAGTTCTCTGATAATCTCACCATCATCTTCAGACTTTGCAAGCCATCTTTCACATGGAAACGTGATAGTTTCTGAACCCTGAAGTAAAAAACAGGATAGAGAATCTCTTCAAAGCAAAGGGAACACGTTAACATTCCTCCTTTGAAAATGTTCTGTTGTGCAAGCAAGAAGTTCCAATTCATATATTTATGTAGAATTGGAGTCTCAGAATCACCAAGGTTGGAAAAGACCTACAAGATCATCCAGTCCAACCATACACCTATCACCAATAGTTCTCACTAATCTGTGTTCCTCAACACAAAATCCAAACGTTCCTTGAACACCTCCAGGGTTGGTGACTCCATATCATCCCTGGGCAGCCCATTCCAGCACCTGAACACTCTTTCAGAAGTACCTGAAACAGTGTGCATGGCAGCAACTAACCCATGAGCATGTCTGTGGAGACAATATGTATTTTTATCTGACAAATTATTCCAGTCATTCAGACCAATGGAGGAGATATATGAGGACTCTGAGCACTGTGTGTGCTTCTTCTCAGAGAGTAGTAGAACAGTTTTCCCAATGGTGAGATTGGTACATGCTCCAGTAGATCACCTTCGTTACTGGCAGGCTCCAGTTTTTGATCTTGCAGACTCCCAATCGTCATTGCACCCTTTCCACTGAAGCCATGTTTTATCAAGGCCTGCAATCCCTTTTCAATCCCTATTCAGTCAGCATTCTCTTTGAAATCAGTTGGGCTTTTTACTCAGTTAATGGTGCAAGATTTTGCCCTATAATTCTGTGACTTAAGGCTGGTTTCCAAGCAGTTCCCATACTTGCAATAAGAAGACAAAAATACTGATTTAATTTTTGATCCTTTGTTTTGACTCACTTTGGTGGAAACAAATATGATTTATGTCATCAAAGAAACAAAAACAATAGAAACCAATCCCAGGCTACTCATCAAGAGCAGACTCGTGTAAAGCCTCCAAGATGGTAAGAGCAGGATTTCTGTGTACTGGGCACCCCAGGCTATGTCTTCATAAAGAAATGGGCATAAGCCATCATGCAACTTGCAGAGCCCACAAGTCTGAAGAGGAAAGTTAGTGTTCAGCTTAAAGTAGTAGAGTGAAGGAAGAAAATAAGCCATTTTCCAGTTGACCTCTACAACATTTCTCTACTTCAGTAGCAAATCAAAGTAGGGAACCTTCTTCACTCTTTTTATATTTAAATAGTAAAAAGTTAATATAAAATAAAAGAGGGAGGAATGGGTTGTGCACCTTTAACTTCTCCCTAAAGCTGATAATGTTGGTATTACTTGCTATTGATATGAATGCTGTTTGTTTGGCAATACAACATGCAGGGACTTGAGTGCCTGCACGGTGGGACATAATGCACAGTTACTGCAAGAGTTAATTGTACCACTATTGTTAATCACCCTGTCACTGTCACAGTTTTCACTGGAGTTTCCTCGTTAGCGATTGCATTAATATTTAAGTGACACTAAGTGCATTGTTCCATGTTATCCATGGTAAAATGCTCTTTCAGCTACAAACAGAATTTGTTTCATCAGAATATGAGCCTGACTGTAAGATAGAGTTAGGGTATGATAGCATGCTAGAATGCAGTGCTTTGCCCTTCTCCAAGTTGGAATAAATAAAATACAATTACCAGATATAATTGGCATGCCAAGACGGAGTTTATTGGCACACAACAATTCTAGTTTCCTACCCAAGCACTTTCAATTTAATCTGAAAAGTTACTGACCTCATTTTTCTTTTGCAGCATTACAGATAGATCTAGATGCATCTTAGCAGTCTAATCAGGTAGCACGGCTTTTAGAAGCGTTGGCAGCATATTGCTATCCTGTGGCAGGTCATAATATTCTGCTGCTGATCAGCGGCATCATGCAGTGCTCTGCTTTCTTCTTTTCTTTTTTTCCCCATACCATAATCAAAAGATCAGCAGAATTGTAAATCACTCGGTTTTTGAGGTGTTCATGGTTTTCCTCCTCCCTTCCTCCACTTCTCCAGACTTGTCACTGTCTGTCCTTTAAAACCTCTGCAACGATGGCACAGCCCCCAGAACCCATTCCTGGGGTGATGGCTGAGCACTCAGCACTGAACTCGTGTTCATTCAATCCCAGCTGCAGAAAGAGGCAGCCCACGAATCTCTTTTCCCTTTGTTTCCATGCCTTTTCACATCACGCTCCCCATTATCCCTTGACTATGACCAAGAACACTATTACCAATAACAAGGCCATCTTGTTAAGAAACGTAATCAAGATGTACAAAATAAGGGTTTGTCAGTACACACATAGACCTAAAGAGGTGAGTTTCTTGTGAACTTCCACTTTCTAGCAGCCACACCAATTGCTGCTCCTACATCCAACATTCAAAGCAAGGCCAAGGAGCAGCTTCTTAGGTGGAGAGGGTGAACAATTTGGCTGCACTCCCTTAATCCCATTGGCACATGAAACCAAAACTCCTGCGAGGAGAGATTATGATGCTTATAACAGTGGGTCTTTTGCTTCCCTTATTTATTCTTTCAGAATTAAGGAGCTAATGAAAGATTTCTTGCCTGTGTTTAGCAACCATACCTGTCATTTTTAAATGGCGCACTCGCTTTCCACCTCCTTCCTTGTTAATGTCCAAAACAAAACTATATACAAAAACACAAAGCTTTGGTCACTCTATGACAGCATTTTTTGAGCCCTGTAGATATGTAAGTTTGTAAGATTTATCTGAATGAGCCCTGGGCACTCAGGAATGCCCAGCCACAGCAGTGCAGATGTTTGCAGGGACAACTGTAGGTGTCTGTAGTTCTTCAGCAGTATTTGCAAGGGTACAAGTTCAGAAATCTCCCCTCTCTGCTCAGTGGCACAGTACAACATTGCCTCCAAATCCAGCAGGCTGATTGCTCCTTCGTTCTAAAGATGGACAGCAGCAAAGATCCCAAAAAGGAGAGGAGTAACTTCACTGCTTTTCTCTCATCCACTGCCAGGAGAAAACACCTCTATTCTAGCCAAAATTTACAAGGGAAGCAGCACTCTTTTAAAAAACAGTGATTGCAAAGTCGTATAATCAACGCTTGAAGAATAAATCATGATAATAAATGTTTGTTGCCCTCCAAATTCCCAAGCTCTAGTGAATTCATTAACATGGATTGCTCTCTGGGGAGTCATTAATCACACTTTGTGTACTGAAGTCCCTCATTGGAAAATAGAAGAAGCATCCAGTGGAAACCTACTCCAGAGTGACGTGATTCCCATCCTACCTTCCCATTTGGTAGCAGTCTCCGAATTGCCACACGATCCAAGTGCCATCCAGAGTTCAGCCCTCCACCATTGTGTCCTATGCGAATCTTTTCGATAATGTCACCAACATCCTCCAGCTGAAAAAAAAAAAAAAAAAAAAAAAAAAAGAAAGAAAAGAAGAAAAAAAGAAAAAAAAAGAAAGATGAAAGAAAGAAGAACCAACCAGAAGGAGTGAAGTGCTGGAGCAGGTTTCCCAAGAGGTTGTTGATGTCCCATCCCTGGAGCTGTTCAGGCCCAGGTTGGATGGGTTCTGGCAGCCTGATCTAGTGATTGGTCTAGCAGCTGGCAGCCCTGTCTGTGACAGGGAAATTGGAACATGATGATCCTTGAGGTCACTTCCAACCTAAGCCATTCTATGACTCTATGACAGATTTCTGCATGAACAACAGGTGATTTTTAAAACAATACTTAAAACTTATTTCTTTCCTCCAGCGAAGCCTCCTTGTATTACTGTGAATTAAAGTATGTTTTTAGAAATTGGAATAGAGCTGTGCTTATGTGATTAGATGGCTGGGCACTGTTATAACACGGGGAAAACAGCCTTGAGATCAAAGCACAGTATTAACAACCTGGCATTTCACGTTCCCTTTCTTGCTCTTGCACAGAATCCAAGTGACATTCTGAGCAAGTCAACAGGATCACTATCTGGTGAAGCAGCTGTTTATATTTTATGTCTCACCGTATTACAGGAGTAATTTGTCACATCTATATCACTTTTAAGCCACTTCCTTCCAGAAGCCTGAACAGGACAAAATATATCTGCTCCAGAGCAACACCTTTGGTCATTTTTTTGTGCAAGCTGTTGTGCACTTGGCCTTTGAGAGACAAAGCTGGCTGCAGAACTCCTTCGTGCACAGTAAAAACACATTGAAGTTTCCACAGGGATTTGGAAACTTTTGTTCTTTGAAACATTAAAAAACCAAACTTCTCAATTTACACCACTGGAGATCATTCCCTTCTCAGCTAACAAAATTGTCTCACACTGAAGCAAAGACACCAGCAATCAGCTCAGAAAGCATAAATTGCAAAATAATTACATTGCATTTATTCCATGATTCTGTGATTCTAAGTTTGGGGACTGGTTAATAATATGTCATGAATCTGCAGAACAAAGTGTATTTTCATTGTTTCATTGAAGAAAATTACTGACATCTCATGTTCTGCCAAACCTAGAAGAGATGTTATGGAATAAAAAAATAAAAATCACATTCAGTTTGAGATGTATATCTATGTATTAATGCCACCTCTGCTTTGAAAAAGCATGTGGAAAGACCACCAAAATTAGTAATATTCTTTGTTTTCAAGGAATCACAATGGAGATCTGTTTTATGATTCATTCCATATTACAACAATGTCGTCTGGAATCATTTTAACTTGTTTGAAAGTTTGTTTTAAGATTTGACTTCAATTATTCTGCAAAAACAAAACAAACTCAAAGCACGCAGAGGTTGTAAAGCACTCCATGAGATCAGTGTTGGCTTTGTACCCAGGGAAGGAAGGTGAGTGTATTAGGTAACACTGAAAGAGCAGATCAGAGCAGGAGTGCCTTTGTTTTTACCTCTCATAGCTTCCCAGCAATAGGCATATATGACAAACAGAAATCACTGAATACTGTCAGTGTAATTGAGCACAGTGATTTGCATGCACTGGTTTATTGTTTGCTTACACATGTGCAGATTCTTCAGGAAACTGTTGATGAGTTAGTCTGAGGTATTCAGAAAACTACCCAGCAAACCTATCCAACCCAAATGAAGCCATAAATAAGCAGCGAGGACTATGGAGCAGCTCTGTCAGCACCATCTGGTGAAACAGGGGTGTGAAAGGATGAAAAGTGAGCTTAAATATGGGGCACCTCATTCCAGAGACTGACACCAATTACGGTCTAGGACATGGAAGATGTACACCTTCCATTGTGTCTCTCCGCTGACCTTCAAAAGCATCTCTTTCAAAAGGAAGGGCAAGCTTCCATGTCCAAGTCTTGGTACACCTCAGCAACAAAATAAAATTACACCAGCCCTTACAGGGCTTAATATGGCACTAAGCCACAGGGACACTGTGTTGATAACTTTTAGTAGCTACTAACTGGATCTCAGTGAGAAATGATTCGCTGCAATACAAGGAATAGAGTAAAAGAGCCAAATACCTTTCTCAATAAGAGAAAAATTTCCCATTCACTACATTTTCTCTTCCTAATCCCCCCAAGGCAATCTGAGATGAGAGCAAACATATTCGATTTTACCTCCACAATGAACTGATTCACCGAGTTCCTCTCAAAGTACATCCGTTGCTCTCTCTTGTTGAGGCACAGGGATTTTTGCTGAGTGCAGATCCCATCACTTCCATAGAGAACAATGAAGACATCTGCATCCGTGCCGGCTCCAAAGATATCGCTGGTGTAGACTGTAATCTCATAAGGAACAACTGATGTAGGAAATGGCAGAAAATAGTAACAATTAAAAAAAAAAAAAAAAAAAAAGGTTATCAAGCAGCAGAACAGTTTTCCTAAGAATATTTCAAAGTAACAAAATCTAGATTGGAAAACTCAACAGCTGAAGAGGACAGGGTAGGAATTACACTTCTGCTCACTTAGAAGCTGATCAGTATTACGAGCATCCAGAGGAATTTCCTTTATCCCTGCAAAACCAATTGACCTTCATTCATCTCAGTTTACTGAGATTTCAAAACTAATCATACGATCAGAAAATGCTCAGTATGTTTATACTGGCTACATAAAGATAGAAAAAGAGGATTTACTTGAACAGCTCATGTCTTAAAGCAAACTACGATCTGATAAAATTTGGAGCAACTTGGCAGATGGATGAAGTTATGCCAACTGGAGGCAGTAGATAAATATTCAGGATAGCTTTCGTAGAAAATGTCCTATTTCTTCCACTACCAAACAAGTGACAAAAGTCAATTAGAAGGAAAAAAAAAAAAAAACCACAACTTTTTGCTACCCACTCTGCCCTATTTTTCTAATAGTATCACTTTTCTCTGACAGCACATAGTCCTTTACATCTTGGGAAACAAGGTAAAACTCCAGCAGGTGAATGGTAAATGCTGAACAGTAAGGATCAAGCCTCTTACTTACTCTTTTCCCTTGATTTCTACACAACACCCTATTACTGAAATAATCTCATACTTTTTTTCTTGTCCTTCTCTGTCTTCACAGCTTCTCAGTCTTGAATCCAGCTGGACTTGCTGAGGAACAGAACTGATGGAGAAATAAGCCTGAGTCTCTTTTCCAGGCTCAGTTACAGGTTTGCTGAATATCCTCGGTCAAGTCACTTCCAACTCCAGTTTCCAAAGTGAGATGCTGCTCAGCTCTCTTACTAGGAAACCAGCGTTCAAATGTCTGTACATCAAGTAGTATTCCTAGCCAAAGGAGTACAAGCACAGAAGTCAATAAAGTTTGGAGAAAGAGCCAGAAAAGAAAACATAGGCATCTTCCTCAGGGTTAGCCGAAAAATTTATTCTCCAAAAGTGGTCAGCTGTTGGCACAGGCTGCCTGGGGAAGTGGTGGAGCCATTCTCCCTGGAGGTGCTTGAGAACTGCGGAGATATGGCACCTGGAGGCACAGACTGGGGTTGGATTTGGAGACCTTGAATTTCTTTTCCAGTCTTAATGATTCTGGGATTCTGTGAATCATTTTCCAAACCTATGAATCTGTGAGCCTGCTTGTGAATGACCAAACATCTGTTGATAAGAATGAGATTCTATCATTCTGTGAGATCAGATGCTCCATCACCATGAGGACATACAAGTTCCATTTACTAGACGGAGTCCCATCTCCCTCTCTTTAAATCCTCTCTGAAATCTATGGGTGAATCTATACTGTGGCCAACCCCTGTTAGCTGCAGGGCAGGCACGATGCCTGCACTCCATCTCATTACCCACAAGCACAGATCTCAACACCTGATGCTACCACCAGGTCTCTCCTTCATACACTGCCCATCACTTTCCACAGTCATTTCAGCTGCTGTCATCTGCACCCTCCCATGCTGCAGTGGCTCCAGTCATCCCTGCTATTCGTTACTCAGCATTGTGCCACATTTCAGATCCAGAATATCAATTCGGGTACAGGGGACACTCCTGGCACCGTATCTGTTAATGCTGCAGTAACTCTGATTGAGCATATCAGAGGTGAATCATTCATTAAAAATCAGGCTCTCTAACCAGAGCTCTCAGGAGAATGGAGATGAAGAAGTTTTCTTCAACAGAGTCAGCCTGGAGGTACTTAATATTCCTTCTGCCCAACTCAGTGAAATCTGCTCTGCTTTGCTCCAGGTAAACTAGCATCATTTCTCCAATGCATAAGGGGGGGAATAATCCTGGAGACCAAAAATCACATGCTATGCATTATGAATTAGAAATGACTTTCACTGCTGAAGTCTGTGCTGCTTGCTCTTGCTGCTTGAATATTAATATCAGCTTAGAACTGAATCAGCAAAGTGGCACTGTAACAAGGTCACTGGCAACACAACTTTCAGCTGTCAGACTCCCATTCCATTTACATGGCGCTTTTAAAACAGTATCCCCACAGGCATGGTTTTAATTGGGTTGCTGATGACATGTTTTCATCATTTGTTCCTCAAGAAAACATTCTGGCACGAGTCATCCAAATCTAAAACAGTTATTTTAGACACCTCTGGCAGACTGGAAGTGCCAGGTTAGTATTTAGGGAACCAGAATGTGGTAAATAGTGTGGTGGGAGTGGTTTAAATGGTTAAACTGCCTGAGCTGATGCTCAGTTCAGCGTGACTTTTGGCCAACTATTTTCATATGCTCAATGTGGAGAGCTGACAAAAATCAGGTTTACACACAGCATATTCAACAGCATGGCATTCCAGAAACTCTGACTCTTATAAGCTGGAACATTAATAAATTGTATAGTCAACATCTGCATCCAAATGCACACTGACTGGGATAATATGGAAAAACCTGCTGAGAAGCACATACGAGTTCTCTGAGTAATATTCATTTATATGAACATGTTACATAGGAACACATAGCAACTTCTTTACAGAAAGGGTTGTTAAGCATTGGAATAATCTCCCCAGGGAGCTGTTGAGTCACCATCCCTGAATATGTTGAAGAACCGTTTGGATGTGGTGCTCAGGCACATGACTTAGAGGAGGGCTGTTATGGCAGTATGGCGGGGCTGCAGTTGGACTTCATGATTTTTAAGATCTTTTCCAACCTGAGCCACGAGTCTATGATTCACATATCTACAAATTCTTTCTAACATAAAGACTATGATATCTTGTATAAATCTGATGGAAGTGAAAAAGGAAGCAAGGAGTGTCCATTCTTCCACTTCAGACAGTTCAGAGAGAGAAACACATGAGAAACATCTTCGTCAGAATTAGGATTAGATCTTCAGAAAAGAAAGAAGATTTGAACTTCCATACTGCAGAGTATATGCACATAGAGCCTGGAAGGAAGCCAGCCAGTGTGAAAGAGACCTTCAGCTTCTACCATAGTGCTGAGAGTCAGAATGAAGTTGAAGCAATTGACAGTCTTCCATGTGGCTATTCTTACAATTAATTACAAAGAAGAAAATTGAGTCAGAAATAGAGAGATTCGGAAGATCTAAGTGATGTCTAAACGAGCAACTGCAGGTGGAAGGCTTTTGGTGTTACAGTGGGTTTACCTCAAACATTAAATTGGAGGGAAATGAAGACTAAGGAAGAGAATGTTGAATCTTGAAAGAGGTAGACTGATGCAACACTATCAGAAGAGCAATGCATCAGAGAAACTGTGGAAGAGGGTCCTTCAGCAAGAGAGGTGTGTGCAATGCAAAGGGCACCAGTGAGAGACTAAGGCTTGGAAGTGAGACCACAACAAGAGTTTGCTTTGACAACAGAAATAGTAATGTTAGAATGGAGCAAGATCAAAGGGAAACTGGAGGCTACAAAGTCAACTTAAAATCAGCTAAGGACCTGGAGATGAAAGAGCAAGAGGGAGATAAAAGACACACAAATAAGGCCACAAAGCTTCTAGAGACACTCTGATTTTGCAAATACATGAAGCATTTATGTAAGAGAACCCAGAGGAACTTTCTTGGAGTAACTGAAGAAACTGGCATCTTACGTATTCATTAATTTCTCAAAGACAGTTCTAGGGAGAAGCCAAGCCTATACAGCTATATGAGGTAGTGAAATTTTATCTTCTGCAATGATGGGTGTGTACTGGGGAAATAGCATTTTGCTCACATGGGATATATTCTGTTGTCTGCAATTCTGCAGGGAAGATAAATCTCTCAATGGCTCCATCATCCTCTGATTTATCCAGCCAACGGCCACAAGGGAACTTGAGGCATTGTCCCAGGGATGGGGCATCGATTTCCACCCATTCCAGAAACCAGCCATTTGAATTACCTGTGGTTAGAGAGATACAGGAATAACTAATCCTTTACAGAAAACAGAAAAATTAATCATTACCTTCCAGGCCTCAGATAATTTAATCTTCCTCTCTTTTGTCAATGGAATAGATATCATAAAAGATCATTGCAAGTGATTGGCCAGGCTTGAGATAACACATTTTATATCTCTGTATTGCAACAAGTTAAAGATGCATTTATGAAAGTGCTGATTACTCCATTGCTTGGATTAATTTGAATTAAGAGGGAAGTTTTCAATTTATCCCTTGGAAGCAATCCACGTATCCTATCAGAGCTTCTCTTGTTTGTGTTGGAGACACTTCCATGTTCAGAAAGCAGCTAGTACTTGATAAAGGGAAAAAAAACAAAAAAAACAACAACAAAAAAAAGCAGCACAAAAATATTGATAGGGAAATCTATGGGTCCCATGTGGAACAAGAAAAAATTCCAGGTTTTTTTGTTGTTGTTTTTACTTTTGTTTTAGCATTAACAGAAAAATAGTGACAGCAACAGCTGAAGTGGCAGGAAGAATTCACCAACAAAAGGCAAATCTAGGGACTAGGTGGAAGGTTATTTTATACAATAATATGCCAGATCAAGCAGAAATACTAAACTACCAAAGCATGTTATCTTACCTGCATTATCATGGCCTATCTTGATTTTTTTCAGGTCTCCTATGTCGACAGACTCGACTGTAAACTCATCTATCTTCCCACGCTCAAATTTGTTCTTGTTAAGCTTTGAGGCCTTCAGGCTGACTATCCCTGTTGTGGCAATGCAAAAGGACATTGTTCAGCATGTGAAACAAATCCTCTGGGAATGTCAACAGTGGAACAATGGAAATGAATAAAATGTGAAAAACAGCTTTTCATCTTGAGATCTGAGCTCTGTCCTCCCGCCCTCTGAACCCAAACTGTATCCACATCACCACCCCAAAAAGCTCTTTTCTTCAGGGATCTGCTGGCAATGCCTCTGAGACTGTGCTGTTGGGCTGTGTTTATGGCTAGCAAGATGGGTGCTACCCATCAGCTCCCTGCCACTCTGACACGCATCAGTCCCCACACACAGCTCATCAGCTGATGAAATACTTCTGGGCCACTCAACGAGGCAGAGCAGGATTTCAGGAGCATTCTGATTCACTGCTGAGAAAAGCAAATCATTCACCACATTCACTACTCAGCAATGTAGTCCCAGGCAACTGTGCTGTTTCTATAATTGAAATTAAAGCCTTCAGACCAGCAGCTGGTGCAAATCAGCATCTCAGAGTTTGGCAATGATTTACAGCAGCTGCTGGTATGCTCCCAGATAATACTGTATATGCACAGACAGCAAGAACATGCAGTTGTCCTAAAAAGGATTGAGGAATCAGTTTTAAGGAAGAAAAAGAAACAACAACCTGTCTTTTCAGACAGTTATATCCACCAACAAGGTGCTATCTCTTTCCATCACACGGATCCATACCTGTATCATCTTTACTCCCATAAAGAGTGATGAAGACGTTGGCATCTGTTCCAGCATTCTTCTTGTCCCCAGTTTTCACTTTCACAATGTATGTCGTGGATTTAGCTGTCAGATAAAATATCTTAGTTTAAGAATGTGAATTCTGAATAGGAACAAATGCTACTTTTCATTGCATGTGTATGTTTGGTTGCAGTTCTATTTTGACTGATTACAGCCCTATTGCAATCTCCATTTCCTGCCATATGCTGTGAGCAGAGCTATCTGGTCGCATGTCCTTCTACTGCTCTTTCACATTTTCTTTCACTCTTTCTTTCACTCTTCCTTTCACACTTTCACACCTGAAAACTTCATTGCTAGGGCTGAATTACAGCCCAGTGAATGTTAACAGGTATTGCCCTGTAGCACTGCTAATAATCTGGTTCCTTTCCAACCCCACACTGGAAGAAACACATTGCTAACATCTACCTTTCTGTTCCAGGCCCAGCGTTGCAAGAGACTGGCCATCATTTTCTGAATCTTTCTTTACAAATGCTTCATCCACTGGGACCAGCTCCCTGACAATTTGACCGTCATCTTCCTCAACTGCTAGCCACCGCTGGCATGGGAAATAATACCTGCAAGAATGACAGCAGCATCCAGCACTTACACAGGGCTTCACAGGCTTTAACGACACAAATAAGCGCAGATCAGAAGCTGCTTTATGACAAAACATAAACAAGCAAAGAAACAAAAAATGTACCATGAACATTGCCCAAAGCTGAACAATACATCTGCTTCCACCCCTGAGCTTTGGTATTGTTTGCGAAAACTTAATCCATAAGCTGGTTAGTGAGCACTTACTGAAAAGTGCTGTTTTAAAGTGCTGTCAGCCCTGTATGACCAAATCCTTTTACTTTTCACAGAATCACTGAATCATAGAATTGTAGGGGTTGGAAGGGACCTCCAGAGATCATCGAGTCCAACCCCCCTGCCAAAGCAGGTTCCCTACAGCAGGTCGCACAGGTAGGCATCCAGGCAGGTCTTGAACATCTCCAGAGAAGGAGACTCTACCACCTCCCTGGGCAGCCTGTTCCAGTGCTCCGTCACCTCACCGTAAAGAAGTTCTTGTGCACATTGGTGCAGAACTTCCTATGCTGCAGTTTCCAGCCATTTCCCCTTGTCCTGTCTCCACTCACCACTGAAAACAGTCTGGCCTCGCCATTCTGCCCCCCACAACTTAGATATTTATAGACCTGGATCAGGTCCCCTCTCAGTCTCCTTTTCTCAAGGCTGAACAGACCCAGTTCACTCAGCCTTTCCTCATAGGAGAGATGCTCCAGGCCCTTCACCATCTTCGTGGCCCTCCGCTGGACTCTTTCCAAGAGATCCTTGTCTTTTTTGTATTGGGGTGCCCAGAACTGGACGCAGTACTCCAGATGAGGTCTTACCAGGGCAGAGTAGAGGGGGAGGATCACCTCCTTCAACCTGCTGGACACGCTCTTTTTAATGCACCCCAGTAAGCCATTGGCCTTTTTGGCCACAAGGGCACACTGCTGGCTCATGGCCAACCTGTTGTCCACCAGGTCTCCCAGGTCCCTTTCCGCAGGGCTCCCCTCCAGCAGGTCATCCCCCAACCTGTACTGGTGCATGGAATTATTCCTCCCCAGATGCAAGACTCTACACTTGCTTTTGTTAAACCTCATCTGGTTTTTTTCTGCCCAGCTCTCCAGCCTGTCCAGGTCTTGCTGAATGGCAGCACAGCCTTCAGGCATGTCAGCCAATCCTCCCAACTTCGTATCATCAGCAAACTTGCTGAGGGTGGCCATTATCCCCTCATCAAGGTCATTGACGAAGATGTTGAACAAGACTGGACCCAGCACAGACCCCTGAGGAACACCGCTGCTCACAGGCCTCCAACCGGACTCTGCACCACCAACAACAACCCTCTGTGCTCTGCCAGTCAGCCAATTTTCACACTCAGAAGAATTTAAATGACTCAAGGAAACCTAGGATCTCTCAGGCATTTCATACATAGGAAGAGTGGACCAATCTTGAGGTCCTTGTGAACAGTGCCACCCACCAACACAGTGTGCATCTTGTAAACAAGTTCCCACTCAATGACAAGCTTGTATTTATGGTTTTCTTAAAATACACTCCTCGTTCACCCAGCTGTCTGAGAGAACGTGGCCCCTTTTCCAACCATATGAAAAGGGTGCACTGGGCTGCTCACGTGGTGCTCTCCTTGAGGTCAACAATCTCTACCCTCTCCAGGAACCAGCTTGGGCTACTACCAGAGTTATCATGGCGGATCCGCAGCTTCTTCAGCTCACCCAGGTCAATGGCTTTGATGGTGAACACGTCCACCTGTGCAGGAGGCAAGAGGAAAATAACTCTTTACCAGGAAGGGGGAAAGAGAGGCGTTAGCTGGGACAGCGTAATTTGCTTGTAAGATGTTTGTAGGTTTCCCTACATTCCTAGGATGGATATATTAAAATCACGAGAGAGCTGTTTGTCTCCCTTTAACACTCGTGCTTGACTTCTATGAGGCAGTGACAGCCACAGAACTGCTGAGCCTTTCCCTCCTTTCTTTACCTCATCCCATCCTCCACATAGGTTTAACACTCCTAAATCTCATTACTTGTAGGGTGAGCATTTCCCCTACTCTGAATCTGGAACTGGACATAAACACATTAACTCCACAGAAACTCCCCTCTGTGCCTCCATGTGCTTTATTTCAATCTGCAGATTTTTGTCATTTACCACAACCATGAGGCTCATTTATTAGCAGCATTAGTGTGACAGGATGGGCCCTGTTGTCATAACACTTTAAGCATCTTAACGTGATTAACTTGTTAGTAGACGTTGGGTTTCTACTCCCAGGAGCAGGGAATGTTACATTTGCAGCCTGGAGCTCTTCCCACTGAACGAAGAACTGCGTGCAGGTTGCAGTTTCACCCGTGCCAAGTTCATAAATCACAGCTAACAGCTTATTTAACAACCTTAGGCTTTTTTTTTTTTTTTTTCCTAATTGCAAGTTTTTCCACTGCTGCTTATTGTCTCTGTGATTCTTTGATACTCAAAATTATTCCTTGAATGATTTCTGGCTACAATACTTGCTTGGTATTTCTTCATAAGAAATTTTTTATGGCAAATATATAATCTACAGTGATGTTGTTTAATTGGATTGGATCGTAACCTGATTATAGCACACTGTGTGATACTGCTTTTATTCCTTGACTCATCGAGCAGAGCATTTGGAAGAGTATTTGCAATCTACACACCGATGTGCTTGAACTGCCACACACATGCTCTCCAATATCAATTTAAAGTTTGTGGTTTTCAGGTATTCCCGGCAGGAAGTGTTATTACCAGAATGCTTACAGGAAGAAGATGAGAAAGGTAGCTCCAACGCAGAAAAATATTCAGCTTAATATACAAGTTAATTTTCTCTGGAAAGTGTTTTGAGGTTATTTTACTTTAATAATCCTATTCAGAAATAAAACGCATCTGAGCATTAAGCTGAAAGAAGAAACCTACAGAGCCTTATAAGGCAGAGATGGTAAGGAATGTCTAGAATGACATCTGAGAGAGCTCTGCCAGCCTTCATCTTGCTCGAGTGAGTTGAGCTCATGCATTACCTGGCCCTTTTCAAACTTGTTGAGGTTATTGGACCTTTTCAGCTGGCGCTCACCCGTGTCTCCTCTTCCTATGCCATAGATGCTCAGGAAGACACTAGCGTCTGTCCCAGAACCCCACACATTGCCAGTGAGAACGTGGACTTCGTATGTGTTCTCTGCAAGTAAAATTGCAAAGGGAAATGTAAGAAGCCCAGAAATAGCTATGTACCATCAGATCCTTGGCTCCCAAAGGTGCATTGCCCAAAAATATCAGGCCTATTGCATCTAAGAAAGGTTTTGTCTGGAGTGTGATAGAACATTTGCGCCTATCTTAAAACATGAGATGCACTATTTTTCTCTAGCCTTTGTCATTAGCTGTTTAAACAGTTAAGACCTGCTAAACTGCCAGCTTTATCCACACACATGCACATTCTGTCTGATATTTACCCTCCAGTTCAGATTCTCCATCAGGCACCAGTTCAACCACAAGCTCCTTGTCTCCTTCATCTTTAGCTAGCCAGCGGTGTGCCACAAACGTATAGACATCCATTCCTGCTTCCACCTTTGTCTCCTCTTCTTCCTCCTCCTCAGACTTTTTCTTTTTCTTCTTTTTTTTATCAGACTCATCCATCTTTGTGGCGAGGCGCTTCAGTGTGACACTTTCCAGGAACCAGCCATCCCCAATGCCTTTCCCATCGTGGCCTATCCGAATCTTATAAATCTTGCCAACATCTGCAGCCTCTATCTGCCACCAAGGAAAAGTAGTACCAGATAGAATATTAGACATCTTCATTTCAAAAATGGACTCTTAAAAACATCACCTGAAACACCTGTCTGACTCAAAAAGTGAGAAGAAGGTCATTTTAGAAAACAAGTTCACCATTAATTTCTCCTTCCTGTTCCATGTTTTCATACTTCCTGTTACCAAATCTCATTTGAACACTAGTGTCACTTGTTCAAGTGACACAAATCTCACTTGAACAGACTAATCTGA